TCAGCACGTGCAGAAATCCACAGATTTCCGCAGATTTTTATTCCATCATTGAGTGTACTTATTTACTTGTTTAAATGTGTGCAAATTTAAATTTATTCCGTTTTTTAATTAATTCCAGTAACATTACTGACTAATGTGAAAATGTTGATTTGATTTATTTACAATAGAGTTTGTAAAGTACTTCTGTCTGTCTTTTAGGAGATGTGTTACATATATTACATGAGAGACTTGCTTTGTTTACCAATGTTTAAGTGGATCTAATTGGATTTGTCTTGTAAACATTAAATAACTAGTTAAAAGGTATTATTTTTGTTTTGTGTATTACATTTTTAATTACGATATACTGCCAAAATATTCCACATAAATCCGCAGATTAACTATAAAATTTTGCGCAGAAATTGCTAAAAAATTTCACAAATTCTGTGTGGCCCTAGCTAAGACTTAGCAAATACCAAAAACATCTAATCAACCATCTAAAAACTACATAAACATATATTATTCGGCCACATGATGGTACAACTGATGTTTATGGAATGCGGAGGTTTTGATATACTGTACATACAGTTTTTTTTAAATATGTAAAAAAAACACAAATTATTTGATACTTTTGTGGCAATTATATATTGTTTATGCTGAAAAGATCATCACACACACATTGAATGCAAATCAGTTTTGAGTTGATCAGTGCTATTTGATAAATAAAATATATTTTGAGTTAAGATTGTAAAAACTGAATCATGATGTAATAAAATGTTATTCAAGAGTTTAGCTGGTGATTGATTATAAAGCTTGTTTGGCATGCTGTCCCGGAAGAGAGCCTTGAGCTCATAAAATCCTTGAGCCTGGGGCTCCCTCCCATTTGCAAGGCGAGTGAGGAGTTTGAGCTCAGATAGATCTCGAGAATTCCCCTGCTGTAGTAGCTAATAAACAGATATTGATTGCTCTAAAGAGATAACTTCTTACTAGGAGCATGTCCATGGTGGTGATTTGGATTAGTCAATTAACTTAAGTTGTGTGTTTTTGGACGGTGAGAGGAAACCGGGGAAACCGGGGTAAATTTATGTGACCACAGGGAGAACGTGTGAACTTCGCACAGATGTCACAAATGTCAGCTGGCTTGGTAAGGACTAGAACCCGTGATGTTCTTGCTGTAAGGCAACAGTGCTAACCACTGGGCCACTGTGTCACCCATCTAGGAAAGGAGGAGTAGTAAGGATGGAAAGGGGGATTCTTCAAAACTAACATGGATGCTATATGGATTTAAGGGGATTTGTACAGGCTTAAGAATCGTATGATGAATAAATTGGATATGTGGGACCAGCCGCAAGCAGTCATAAGCATGTGATCCTCTTGAAATTAGTTTATAAATAAACTAATAAAAAACAGAAAATTACAGATTTTTAAATAAAAATAGCAGATTATAAAAATAATTATAAGAATATTTTTATTCATAGTAAATACATATAAATAAATAAATTTAAATAAATACAAACAAAAAATAAATAAATAAATGAAAAATAAAGGGAATTCACAGTATGGATTTCTTAGAGCTAAAGTCTCAATGTTGCAACCAATGTTGCAATTTAAAACCATGGGAAAGAATATTTGAGGTTAGCCCGCTTGCTAGAACTTATAATACTAATAACCTCTGGGGACTCCCAAAAGTGCATGGGCCCTTACAATCGTCCTAACTTACCCCTCCACTTAGTGTCACCCCTGGTTGCAACCACAAATAAAATCAAGTTAACTTCCTAAATATACCCCATCAACCACCTAAAACACATGAGAAACCACCTAACAATACGCTAGCAACAATACAATAACCTACTCTAGCAACCACTCAAAGAAATTGCAACTAGCAATACCCTAGCAACCACTCAGCTTTTTCCAACATTCCAGTGATAGGACTTTCTCATTTTACCCCTTATTTTCTAAAGATATGTTTATATCTTATTTGCACTTACGAGTTTTTCACTTGTGTTTTTGTATGAACAGAGTCTCCACACTTCACATCAAAACCAAAGAGGTATATGATTGCGGAAGTTGAAAAAAATGTGGAACTTCAGTGTCATGCCAAAGGTAAGCCCCGCCCACAACCCCACCCCCTAGAATAGACACACCACATGTGTAGCACCTCTGTGTTTGACCACTTAAGAGTCATATTATACATGTCCTACATACTCTTATATTGTATTAACAATTTTCCTCCAGGAAACTATAATCCTCAAGGCCAAAGTTTATTTCACATTTTGAGCTCGTTTAAGTGAGCCTAATGCAAATTTTGCATTTGTAATCTACACACATACTGTATGTGCACTACTTGATTTAAATATGCAATGTTGGGATTCAACTTGTTTACATAATTTAGTTTAAGGGTACACTTTTTGGAAATAGGATTATCTTATAACTCTCTTAAACAGTTGATGAGCATTTTTAAAGCCATTCGTCTGATCTCAGAGTCTGATGGTAGCAGATTTAGCTTAACTTAGTATAGATCATTGAATCAGATTAGACCATTAGCATCTCATTCAAAATTCAATAAAAGTTTCAATATTTTTCCTAGTTAAAGCTTGACTATTTTGTAGTTACGTTGTGTACAATTAAAAGTTAAATATGGTTATATTGTTGATATGGCTATGAATACTTTCAGTCGGGCATAAGAATCAAGGAACTTTGCTGCTGTACCATGGTTGCTGTAGGCGCAATAATATTCAAGATGGGTCAGGCTTTAAATAGGAAAAAGATGTAAATTTTTGTCTTTCTCCCTTTTTTTTCTTTTTTTTTTGTGCGACATGCTAATTGTCTAATACGATTCAACGATATATGCTAATCTAAGCTATGCTAAAATTGCTCTTGCCAGATCTGGACATTAGCAAAATGGTTTTAAAATAGTAAAACTGAACTTTTTAACTGTTATTTATATTTCATTAACATTCTTTTAGGCCACAATAATGAAGAAACATAATGTATCTGACAATTGCATCTTTAAAGGTGCAATATCCAAGTTTGACACCCAGTGGTTGAACTAGGTATTACATTCCTGGTTGAAAACACATGGAAGTCAAAGTTGCCAGATTGAGAACAAACAGGAGTGAGTATGATAATCGTGCATTAAGGCTGATTTAAATAGTGTTTATATGAGCAACGGCATGCTATAGAGGGATATATTTTCTATAATAAAATGAGTTTTCGTTCTAAACAACCTCTCGAATTGCTATATTAGAATCGGCCTCTATTTCTTGCAACTGACTATGATCACCTCAGGTACACCTCATGTGCTTTATTTAATGTTAAATGCTAATAATGTGAGTTTGAATGCCATTTCACATGACGTTTATTGCCATACCACTAAAAGCAGCAGCATATAGTTCACCTCAGATCCTAAAAATAAAATAAACCTTTTAAAATTGAACTTTAGAACTGTGAATCAAAACCAACACATATCAGTGATTCAGCATGTACTGTACACTTAATTATGTTAAATGTTAAATAATGCTTAATATGTATTCATTAGATTATAAACCTTATCATTTTGTGAGTTAGTGCATATTCTGTGCTTCTGAATGGCTGTATTTAAATTTCTGTCATGTTTCATCTGCTGCAAACAGCCTCACTACTTATCACTGCAATTCTCGTCACGTAGCGTGTAGTTAGGACACGGTGTGACAGTGGTACCTTCTCAACTCATGTTTACGTTTGTAATATCTCTATTATTTGTTAATTAATAACCTCACATGAAACTCTGAATCTGCATCTCATTTCGGAGTCTGCTACTGTCCACCAGAGTTCGCATTTCGGTCTCGAGCACATGCTTTGAGAGCCTTTCTGAAAGACTGAATGAATCAAATACACAGTTTTCCAACAAGGCAACCCGGGATGCTGAAATATAATTGGCTGTGGCAGTGGGTTGGTTAAAAAAAAAAAAACGAAGACAGATGTTCTGGCACGTGACGCACAGTTTCAAAGCAGAACATCTAACTTTAGCATTGTAAACATGAATGTTCACTAAGCATTCTTAAATATCTGCAAACATATAATGGTATTTTTATGCATAAGAAGAGTCAAAAATTTACATACAGCACCTTTCAGAAGTGTAATGTTAGCATGCTCATATTTAGCGTGTCCCAGTTTGCTTTTAAGTCGCTATTTGCTACAAGATGTCTTTGAGTTTTTGTGCTGAGTCGACAGCAAGACTTGCCATCATCAAAGCCGTTTGTCGCCTCACAAACTTGACCTTTCCGCCAAGCACCACATCAACCTCTGCTCATTTTCTCAACGTGGCCTTATTTGAATTCATCTTTATTTAATCGACTAAATGAGTGATCTGGAATAAGCGGTCAAGTACATTAGAAAAGGCGAACGAGGCGCTAATGGCATTAGCCGCTAATTGGTGTCACTGTTCATACTACGTTAGGATCTAGTTAAAAGACATTAGGTATATCATTGGCTCACAGGGCAACGGAGGAGTTGAAAATCCTTTTAACAAGCTGCGCAAATCTGACCTACATTTCAGCAACAAAGTGCCAAGTGTCTAAAAGTTACACTTTTCATGGCTTCTAACAAGAGAAATTCGTAAAGAGAGACCTCAAACGCTTCTTTCTTCTCCCCTTCTTTCTTTCGTAATATTTTTCCTCCTTTATTGAACAGAAATCTGGACAGTTTCTCCTTCGCCAAACTTTTTTGAAAGTACTGAGACTTTTCCTTTTCATGTGGTAGAGATTGTACCTCTTGCAATTTACACTTGCCGTGAATCTCGACTCGTTCCTTTTGCACTCTCGCAAGGGTGTGAAGCTGAGTTTGCGTGCACTTTGTCATAAACTGTCAGAAATTTAATTACAGCGAGCTTGTTTTTGACAGGCTTATTTTAACATCCTTGTCTTGCATCCCTGTGGGTGTGACACGACTCTCAACGCAGAGACTCCTCTGCTATATTTGACCTTTTAAATTGTCGAGCTGTAGGATTTATCCATGATATACTCTTTCATTTGCATGCCATGATGAGCGGATCATGAGTTGCTTCAGACCAACTTAATTTACAATTATTGCTAATACGCATAATTGGCGTTTTATTCATTTCTGCACTCTCTTCTTGATTTTTCACTCGCGCTTTTCTCTTGATCTCCCTCTCTCGTGCTCTCTTTTTTTTGGCGGTGAAGCATGTCAAAATTTTATTGGAAGTTTAATCAATCAAAGCCAATTTATTAGATTAAATTTTCATTAATTAAAGCAAAGTGTGCCCTGATGAAGGTTTATTGATGAAAACGTTAACTTTGTGATAAATCAAGCTCTCCGTGTGGGTGTGTGGCTGCTTTGGTAATAATTTTCTCTTCTACCAAATGTCATGTGGCATTCGTGTAAATCTGCACTGTAAGAATTTGGGCTAGCTGCTTATATTCCGAGATGGATTTATGCATACGCATTCCAGGAATGTGCCTATGCTTGCATGTTCAGATTGGACTTGATTACAATGCTAAACTATACCCTGGATGTGTTTGTATATTATATTAATATATTATATTATATAAAATTATATTATATTATATTATATTATATTATATTATATTATATTATATTATATTATATTATATTATATTATATTATAATATATTGTATAAAATTATATTATATTATATTATATTATATTATGTTATGTTATGTTATGTTATGTTATGTTATGTTGTTATGTTATGTTATATTATATTATATTGTATTATATTATATTATATTATATTATATACATTTAATCAAAACTACAACATATTAAATTAATCAAAAGTGACTGAAAAATATGTTACAAGATTTCAGTTACAGTACAAATCGATGATGTTCATTGAAATGTTTAAAAAAAGTTTTAAAAAAAGTTTTTTAAATATATACAAACCAACAAAAACTTTATAATCTACATATTATTATCAAATATCTTTAGCATAATAATAATGACTATTAATAATGATATTACTACTAATAATGACTATTAATACTATTAATGACTGTCCAAAGTGACTTACAATTGATATAAGTGTGTTAGATGAAGAAACAAGATTATCAACAATGATCCTCACTGTAAAACCCAACAGTTAACTTTGTCAAATGAAATCTGTGTAGTTAGCTCAAAATTGACTGAAAGTTCATTCTACTCATTTGAAAAGAGTTTTGAACTCAGTGTAGAAGGTAATGAGTTGATTAAATACCTCAGTACTTCATCCTATGGAGTAAGTTCACAGTAATATAGATTAGTTTTTTGAACTCAAAAGGTTGAAAATCAGTTTTCTCAAATGGTTGGAGTTGCCTTAACTTATTGGGTTTTGCAGTACTCAATTAGTTTGAGTTTTCTTCATTTTTGGGGGGGGTTTACTGTGCTCTAATTGCTTCGTTTACTAAAATGGAGTAAGTTCACAGTACTCATTAGGATTCGTTTTTGAACTTAAATGGTTTGTTGCAATTGGTTTTCTCAAATGGTTTGAGTTACCTTAACTTTTTGGGTTTTACAGTGTAAGTAAATGGATTTAACATGCTGAGGTGCATTTCATAAACAATAACATAACTCGCGGCTGAACTATCATAGTATGATGCATCATTTGAAAAAAAGAACGATGTAGTGATGAGTGTATCCCAAAACCGTAGTTTCTTTGTTGCAGATCCATCGTTTAAACCACTTTAGTTATAGCGCAAAACGACCATAATAACGCTCTTAACGAAGTGGATTAACAACTTTAATACAGTACAGATACATTTATTAATAAATAATCTACTGTTAAAAAAAAAAACATTAACATGTGCTATATATTTTTATTTACACAAGCTTTGGAGACAAAACGTAAATTCTGCTGTTAAATAATAGGTCGCCACGATTGTGTTCAAAAAGGCATAAATGTTTTCAAAGTGTACTGCAAAGGGAACACAATTGCCAATATGAAGATCGCTAAAACTCAACTGTAAAAAATACCTTAAAAGCAAATTACACCTAATAGAGATGACTTTAAGGTTTTTTTTATCAATCCAAGTATGAATGTTGGAATGTTCGAAAGGTTTGAAGCAATAGGGGGGACAACTTAGAATATAACACAACCAGAAACTATGCTCTAACTACAGCTCCAGAGGTATAGTTGCAAACATCCAAGTTTGCAACGCAGTTTGCGAATGTTTGTTGCAATGATGGTTTTGGGAAACGCTAAATCAACAAACTTTGTTTGTAACAATGACCTTATGACCTTAGTTGGCTAAGGATGGTTTTTTGGAAATGTACCCCTGATTGTTGGTCCCCAGTTATATTTTAAAACTACAGTTTTTTTATTAAAACTCATTTTGTAATTTATTTTTCTAATTAAATAATGTAGCTGAAATCCTTTTTTTGAAACATTTGTTCTGACACTTTTGATCAATTTAATATGTCTTTGGTGAATAAAATAATCATGTTTTGTTTTACATGTCCTAGTAATGGATTATCCACAAAAGTTTTAAGCAGCACAACTGTTTTAAACATTGATAATAATAATGCATAATTTTCAGCATATTAGAATGATTTCTATAGTATCATGTGATATTTAAACTTGGAGAAATTATGCTGAAAATGACAGCTTTGCCATCACAGGATAAATACATTAAATATACAGTAATAGTGTATGTTTATTTAAGATCTATGATAGCTGCTGAATAACCTTGTCATGCCTAATGTATTATTCAGGGGTTCCCACACCGAAGCTGGAGTGGTTCAAAGATGCCATCCCGCTCTCCACACTCAACAACTCTCGATACAAGCTCACCACCTCCTCAATGGTTCTTCAAGTGCGGAGAATCCAACCAGACGATGCCGGAATATTTCAATGCTTTGCTGAAAACACAGCAGGAGAAATCCAAGCACACACCAACCTGGTCATCACAAGTAAGATCAGAAATATTTCACCCAAAAAAATCAGGCATCATTCACTCACAATCCTTCATGACTGACTCACTTTTTTGACAGTTTTTGTTGCCAGTCGCCACCAGCATTTTGGATGATTTTCACCCAAATATGATGTCATGATACAATGTGCCACAATATTTTGTACTTATTTTAGCATATTACATGTAGAAGATAAAATACCATTAAATTTATAATCGGTTGTTATCGTAGCCCAACAGGCTGTTGTATAAAGCCTGTTTCACACCGCAAGTGTGAGCAGAGCATGAGCAGTGCATTTTTTTTTTCGGTGTCCATGTTAACAGATTAGAGCCTTCATACTGCACCCAGAAGGAGCGCGTCAGTGCGAGGCGTGAGCGTCGCTGAAACAGCAGTGCCATAATAGTTATGGCGCTGGGTCTAATTTTGCTGCGCTGCTCACGCTCAATTAAAATGCCAGTGCTTTGATAATGACCAAAAACATTAAATGACAGTAAAACGGAGCAATTTTACCTAATAACTCCATCGATAATATCCATTTTTATTATATGCTCAATCAAATGAACTTAAATGATTTATAAACGGCAACATATATTTAATTGTGCCTGAACTACAAAACCAAATTTAATACAATTTAAGTATTTGTTTTGCTTAAGTTGCACACTAGTTTGATCATGTATAAATACCATTATAACTATATTGTATAAATATTATTATAACTATAGGCCTACATCATCCTGACAATCATAAGCAAAATGACATGATATCACAGGCAATTGTCTTCTGACCGAGTGCACCTGAAAAGACATGAATCACACTCCTCAGAGCGTAAGAACCATACAGTTCTTTAGGATCTATATAATTTGTAAAAATAAAGGCTTGCAGGTTAAGGAAACAGCATAGGAAGAAGTTGCCGCGGGCCTTGGTACAGATGAAAAGTGAAAAAAAGGTGTATTTATAGATAGATGGGTAACTAGATAGAATAGACAGAGATAGATTGATCTGTGCAGCAGCTGCCGATGAGCTGCACGCTGTCTATGTGTGTGGATGAGAGTGTATGGGTGTTTCCCAGTGATGGGTTGCAGCTGGAAGGGCATCCATTGCATAAAACATATGCTGGATAAGTTGGCGGTTTATTCCGCTGTGACTACCCCAGATTGATAAAGGGACTAAACCAAAAAGAAAATAAATGAATGAATAATAATAATTAAATTATACACTTAAACAATATTATTTAATTAATTAAATTGAATTATATTAATAATAATATAATAAAAAAAAACTGCCTCTGTTTAAAAAAAAAAAAAAAAAAAAAACATTTTATATCTTTAATTGTTTTGTTGTTTTGAATATATCACATATTTGCATCATGCATGCAAATAGTTTCATTAAAAATACATTTTTTGGCATGATTTTTAATACGTATACAATTGTGCGTCAAATTATTTAGTGATTCATTAGTAATTTTCTTTCAAAGTGTGCATTTTAGGATATTGTAGAAAATCTGGAGATTGCGAAATGGCCGATGTTTGTTATTGAATGTCAATGATGTGTTGAAGGCTAATAACATTTATTAGCTAATTTTATATGTCTTAACGTACCTTTCATAACATTTCAATGATTGTTTAATAAATGTTGAAGTGCTAAATGTGGCAGTTGTGTTAGATGATATGCTAATTTAAGAAATTTTTAAATGCTAATGCTGTCTACAGTCAACGTAATGCAACACAACGCAACACCCTGGATGTTAAACCAATGGCTCGTTTAGCTTCTTAGCATAGCATAGTAGCAGACAGTATTTAATAAACTCATTCATGCTAGTTTTGTTTCTGTTTTAAATTCATTTTTGTGCTTTGATTCTACAAAGTATCTTACTTTTATGTTTGTGAAATGAGCTATTAGTTTGGATAGACAAGAGGGTGAGTAAACGATGGCAGGATTTTCATTTTTGGTTGAGCTATTGCTTCAAGCTAATGGAAGGATGGTGCATAAATACAGCCATGGATGTTTTAAAAGTCAGTGATCTCGCTCTCTTCTCTTCTCGCTTGTGAATTGATCAGGGAGTTCAGAGACCCCTCATTGATCTGTGTAATTAATCAGTGTCTACTGAGAGATCAACCTTTAACACACACATACACACGCGCGCACACACTCAGCACTTAATCAACACCTCCAGCTCTCTCTCTCTCTTTCTCTCGCTTAGTCATCCTCATCTCTCTTCTGCTCTCCAGCTTCATTTCAGTTTACACCATTTTTTATTGAAGTTTGTGAGTTTTAAAGTTAGGCACATTCGTCATGTTTATGTAATTAATTAACAAGTGAATAGCTTAATAAATTGATGCTATAAGAGTGGTGTGATATTTATGGCAGTGGTTAATTCAGGCTAAAGTCTCTCATAAAATGTAGGGATTTCATTGGATTAGATTTCAAAATATCATACCAAATATCTACTAAAAAGGGATCAGAGCTGTTTTTAAATGAAGAGTAAAAATAACATATTTGTCAAATATAAGATTCATTTTGAATAACTGTTCTACATTGAAATGTTTTTCAAACTGTAATTTATTTCTGTCATTCTTTAGAAATAATTAAATGTAAAATTAAAGAAATTACAGATCAAAAACATTATATATTCATTTATTCATTTTCTTTTCGGCTTAGTCCCTTTATTAATCCGGGGTCGCCGACATTTTTATCCAGCATTTTTTTTTATGCAGCGGATGCCCTTCCAGCCGCAACCCATCTCTGGGAAACACTACGGACAATTTAGCCTACCCAATTTACCTGTACTGCATGTCTTTGGACTGCAAACTTCACACAGAAACGCCAACTGACCCAGCTGAGGCTCGACCCAGCAAATTTCTTGCTGTGAGGTGACAGCACTACCTACTGCACCACAGCATCACCACATTTCATATTACTATTGAGAAATATATTTTGTGGACATTGTGACACTCTTTCTTTCAGTAAAAGTTATTCTTTCGGCATTTACAGTTTGTTCCAACTGCTTACACATAAAATCTTTTCTTGTCACACAGTTTTTGAAACATCTCACTCAAAATGCAAAACTGCACCTCAAATCTCCAAAACCATAAAATATTTTCTAGGCTTGAACTCAATTTTCAATTGTATAAAAGACTTTTCTCAAAACACCACACAACTCTATCTAAAACACAAAAATCTAACGAGAAGCTTCTTGCTTTCCTTTTCCAAACACAACCAATCAAAACTTACTCACAATGTCACACACACACTCCTTAAATGTGCACACACTCATTTCTTAACTGATCACTAAGCAGTCACTGCTTTAATCTAGTATAGGCCAAAGATGATGGGACACTGGGCTGTTCTGGTCAAAAAAACAAAATGGTTTTCCACCAACCGACAAGTTTTGTACCCCATTTTCTCCTTTTCTAAATCCTAAATTCCTCAAAAAAACAGTGTATAATGACCAACCCTATGCCCACATGACGCTTCTGCAGGTAAATGATGCGTCTCGCCCCCGAAGACTTCCCTTCACACACAATTGTGTTCTTCACTGTATTGAGTTTTAATTGATGCATGTCACAAAGCATTTGCAATTTGTTGGAAGGAACGAGAAACTGCTACAAATGACTAATTGTTTTGAGAAATGCATTAACTGTTGTGCAAATGTAAATAGTGTTGTGAGAAAAGCACCAAAGCCACTGAGAAAAGCTGTAAATCCAAATAAGTGGGGCTAATCGTTTGGTGTAATGTGTACCAAGCTAAAAGCTTCATACTGAATGGTTGAATAATACGTTTATGACATTTTAGCATGATGATCCATTTTACATTATCAAATGGCATATTTTTTCACATTGATAGAATACTTGAAATACTGTATCAGTTTTTTTTTGTTTTTTTTTGTCATTTTAAACCTGAACTGTTTTATTTTAAGTGTCTGTCACTTAGTATTTTCTATGTAATTTTTTTTTCTTTTTCAATTATATGTCTTGTTTTGATGTTAGGCATGTCACCATTGTTTACCACGCCCCCTTCTGACATCACGGTGACTGACGGTACATCAGCTGTGTTCACCTGTGATACATCCGGTGCCCCCAAACCTGCCATCGTCTGGAGGAAAGGTTCGTAACATTACTTTCACCCTTGTTTGCACGTCATTTAGAGTTAAAGCCCTTCTGTGAATTTTTTATTTATTTATCTTTTTCAAAATGTTGTTTAACAGAGTAAGGAATTTTTCACAGTATTTCCTAAAATATGTTTTCTTCTGGAGTAAGTCTTATTTGTTTTATTTGGCTAAAATAAAATCAGTTTTTAATTTTTTTTAAACCATTTTAAGGTCAATATTATTAGTCTACTTAAGCACCGTTTATTTCTATAGTCTACAGAACAAACCACTGTTATACAATGACTTGCCTAACTACCCTAACGTTAACCTAAATAACCTAGTCAAGCCTTTAAATATCACTTTAATCTGAATAGTAGTATCTTGAAATTTATCTAGTTAAATATTATGTACTGTCATCATGACAAAGATAAAATAAATCAGGTATTAGAAATGAGTTATTAAAACGGCATGTTTTAAAGAAAAAAAATCTTCTTTCTGTTAAACAGAAATCGAGGGAAAAAATATGCGGGGGGGCTAATAATTCTGACTTCAACTGTACATGCTTACATGTCAAACATCAGTGCAGTTTTGTGACTAAACTCTATAAATCTTGCAGGATCTCAAGTGTTAGCGAGCGGATCGGTGCAGACGCCTCGTTTCACTCTGCTGGAGTCCGGAGGCTTACAGATACTACCCATAATGCCAAGCGACGCAGGGAATTACACATGCCTGGCATCGAACACTGAGGGACTGGTCAACGCCACCGTGGCCCTGACAGTTTTAAGTACGAAAGTGCAATATTATGAAAAATATGTTGTCGTTAATGACTTGAAAGTACAAACAAATTTAGAGTACTTAAAATTCAGAGGACTCAGGATTGCAGACAATTTATGAACATGCCTTTTATCAGCAGTCATTGTTTGGCTTAATTGCCACATTCATTAGCTGGCCTGATTGTAAAGGCATAGCAGAGCAGGGTATTTGTGAAATGGTAAGTCTTTTGCAGTAATTTCGCACAGGGAAAAGTGTCATCTTGAAATCCCAAGGCCTCAGTTTATCTTGCTCTGCATGCTTAATGATGCTGATGTTGGTTTACGCTGCGTGGAGGAACATAGTTGACAACCGGCCTAAATAATGGTGTTATTGGATCAGGCACTTAAAAAGGAAAAGCAAGACGTCTCTCTGATTAAACCTGGAGAATACTGTCAAGCCTGAAATTAGTAATACCCCTGGCAAACTCTGACTTAAAAGTGTTTGAACAGTGTAAATAAAAGCTGAGAAATATTTTTCCTTTCCATAATGATGCCTCTTGTACATCATCTTATTATCTTTTGGGAGAAGCCTGAGTCATTTCCTGTCAAAAAATAACTTGCTGGTTAATTAAAAGTAACTTTAATTTAGAATTTGCCAGAGGTATGAAGGATTTCGAGCATGACTGCATAATATATGCAAACGATAAATTTTAAATACACATATTTCTGATATATAATTCACAACTATGAAAAAAGACAATACTAGACAACTAGATTGTTCAATCTCTAGATTGTTTAGGCATGAGTTTAGTGAAACGGTAATATCTCCATAATGCTCCATTCAAATGGAGCATTAGTCATTTACTTTGCATGAAGTGGCGTCAAACGTTACTAAATTGAATTGTGGGATCAATAAATCGTGTTAGGTTCATTGCTCATGGCAGAGGATGAAAAACTTTTAACTTTTCAAAAGCTAACTCAGGTGTCAGCCAATCAGATTGCTTTATGCAAACATGCTGAAGCTTGCCGCATCACATTTGTGCAACACCTGAGATCTTAATCACCCGCTGCTTTAAAATCTATCTTTATTACTTACAGAACTCATATCATAACTGAATATAATGTATTGTCAGTATGAAAATCACGTTAAAATGAAGCATACCTCTACACACAGTTAGAGTACTTTGCAAAAATCCTAAGCACTATTACCAGCTTATATATAATCAATCAGTCTCTTTATTAAAAACAAACAGAAAATATAGGAAATATGTACAAAAAACAACAACACAACATTTTCTCTTAATGTGGCTTTTCTTGGCACCAAGCATAGCTTGAACGGTCCTAAATGTCCTGACATTGTGTAATATCAGGCTTCTTTTAGCACTTTCCAGAGTTCTTAAGGTTTAGGGTTTCCAGGTGATCTTACAGTGCCTCTATAACATTCAGGTCTGGATGCTGTGAAGGCCACTTCATGACTATTTGTGTTTCATCAGCTGTTTTCTTTCTCCAAATAGGATTTCACTGCAATTAGCAGATCTTTATTCTGCTGGAAATGGAAACTATTACCACTGAATTCTTTTGCGTCTGTGGCACAATGAATTAAAATCTATTTGTACTGTTCAGCATTCACAATTCCATCAATTCAGAGAATATTGCTAACAAGTCCTATCCTAACAAACCATACATGGACTGAAAGATATACAGTACTTTACATATATTCTCACACACATACACAGCAGTCAACTGTGTATGAAGTTGACTGCTGTTTGAAGTGGATCAAAAAAAGTTTAGCGAAATTGTCCTAAGACAAGAATGGGTGTTGTTTAATAGTTTTAGGACAACTCTGATTAAAGGTTTTGATAAACTTTAGTGCTGACTGCTGTATTTACTGAACAAAAGTCAACTTTAACTTTTCAGCTGACTTCAACTGAAAACGAAAGCCAAAAGCTACACATTGTGCATCAGTATATTGTATTCGGAGTTGTTTTGTCATAACAATAGCACCAGCATCAGGAGCAGTGGCTCACTGAGTGTTACTTTGAGCACCTAAATTAATAAAAAACCCCATTGGCCAGAATATATGGATGTTTTTAAATGAGGTTTAAGTTACTTTTTTCTATTTATTTCTGTAATAGACTTCATTAACATTATATTAAGCCAAGCAAGTATTTTAAGCTTGTGAATACACGGAATTGTAGCAATCTATTTTCCATTGTTTAGACAAAAAAAACAGTCCCATTGTCTTTGCATAATACACTGGCTGAAAGCATTGTAATGTTGAAAATATTACATGCATTAGCTTTAATCAAGTCGATTGGACCCAGTGGGTTGTTTTTGCGAAAGAGAGAATTTGTTCATTTGCTACAGCCCTGCTATATGTTCATTGAGACGCAGCATGAATATTCAAACGTTCATGCTTTGTAAATTCCATTCTGTTTTCCTAATGAAGCTGTCAGTGGGAATTACCAAATAGGGTTAAAAGGACTGTGAATAATGATTAAACTGTGGTTTTGTCCTAAACTACATTTGTTATTAATCAGGTCGAACCTTCATCTCCACACCCCCTGAGGATCAGCGTGTCATCAAGGGAACCACCGCTGTACTGCACTGTGCAGCAACCCACGATCCCAGAGTCACTGTCAGGTCAGAGCTCCAATTCTCATGCATGTTGGGAATCACAGGTTTTCACTTTAGGGTAAAAAAAACTGGGGAGATATCTTTTCAAATGGTGCACTTTTTTACTTTTTTACTCAAAGTTTAAGGGACTAATATATACCTTTTGAGGTGAAAAATCTGCTCCTGCCTTTATTAATTTTAAAATTAATGGAGTAAGTAATGGAGTAAAATTAATTGTGCAAGTTGTTTAAACTTATATACACTACCTGACAAAAGTCTTGTCGCCTATCCAAGTTTTAGGATCAACAAATTATAACTTGACTTCTAGTTGATCATTTGGTATCAGAAGTGGCTTATATTGAAAGGCAAAGGTCTCTAGATTACACTTATTTTACCAAAATAAAATATGACCATGCCTTGATTTTTAATTATTTAATTAGGACAGTAAAGTCTGATTTTACTTAGAAAAATCTTGTCACTTAACAGAAATAATGTACAGTGTAGAATATAAAGTCATGGTGCAGTGGAAAAAGAATTGGTATTGTTATTGCTCCCATCATCTTGAAACTGCATTATATTAATAAAGTCAACTGGAATGGCTAGCATTCTTGCAGGACTCCCAGAGATTCTTTGGATTCATCTTTAATACCCCCTCCTTCATCTTACCTGAGACATGCTCAATAATGTTCAAACCTGGTGACTGGGCTGACCAATCCTGGAGCACCTTTATCTTCTTTGCTTTCAGGAACTTTGATGTAGAGGCTAAATGAGAAGAAGCGCTATCCTCCTTTGCCCTCGCCTGTAGTTTGTAATGTAATGGGCAGCACAAATTTTTTTGAGACCTCTCTTGAGGCTGTTGATGTTGACTTTTGTCAGGTAGTGTAGACTAAAATGACTTAAGACATCATCAAATTTGTGCAACTTTAAAAAATGTAATTGAACCTTATTAATTTATTAAAATAAGGTAAAATACTGTAAAAACACATGTTGTCATGACTTATGAATCAGTATTTTTTTTTACAGTGATCTAATTTGCACATATTAGCTATTTGGTTCTCCCCAGTGACAGTTTTTGTACAACTGTAATTCATTAAAGAATATATCAGAGATCTGACAACAGAAAATTTCTCATTGAGATTTATTTATTTTTATCGGGCGAGGCAGTGGCGCAGTAGGTATGCTGTCGCCTCACAGCAAGAAGGTCGCTGGTTCGAACCTCGGCTCTGTTGGTGTTTCTGTGTGGAGTTTGCATGTTCTCCCTGCCTTAGCGTGGGTCTGCTCCGGTTTCTCCCACAGTCCAAAGACATGTGGTACAGGTGAATTGGGTAGGCTAAATTGTCTGTAGTATATGAGTGAATGTGTGTGTGTGTATGTTTCCCAGAGATGGGTTGCGGCTGGAAGGGCATCCGCTGCGTAAAAAACTTGCTAGATAAGTTGGTGGTTCATTCCGCTGTGGCGACCCCAGATTAATAAAGGGACTAAGCTGACAAGAAAATAAATAAATGAATGAGATTTATTTGTGAAGGATTAGTTATGTCGTTTTACTTGAGTCCGGCACACATTATGTAACTTTGAATGGTTAAAGCTAAAATGTAGATGGCTTGATGCAGTGCAAGAGATACAGAGCTTTAAGATGCAAAATTAACTTTAACAGTCGTTTACGCTCTGTGGAATTAAGATACTTTAATGCTATCACGTACAACAAATCACCTTTACAGGTAAAGTTAAAATCAATTGCTAAATAAAACACTCTTGACACATTAAAATGGGAAACCTGTACAAATTCTACAGATTGTGAAAAGTAATTGCATGTCGTTTAATAAGCTGTTTTATCTATTGGAATTTTTCGGTAAATAAACAAGGTTTATAACTGGATATTAATTAGTTGATGTGATTGTGCTTCTGGACGGCATGGTGGCTCAGTGGCGCTATATCTGGCAACACAGTTCAGCTAGCATAGTTGGTCACCAGAAAACATTGTTTTGGATAGTGGTTAAAGTGGTTAGTTACACCAAAAATGAAAATTCTGTCATCCTTTACTTACCCTTGACTTATTCTGAACCAATTTAAGTTTTATGTTTTGTTGAGTTTAATACTTGATATTAATTACTTAATATTATTATGCTTCTGGATGGCATGGTTAGCACTGTCGTCTCATAGCAAGAAGGTCACTGGTTCACCTACTGCATAGGTGGTTCATTCCTCGGTGGCGACCTCTGAAATAGAATGAATATTATGCTTCTTTCTTGACCATCAACTAAACACTGCAGTTCTAATCATGGTCATGAATACCCTAGTAACTAAATGAAACTGCATTCTTAGTGAGGTTTGCATTGGAATATAATTAACGATGCTAACTCAAGCTTTACTGTTACTAATAAGCAACCAACTGAAGTACTTTTCCAAACTAATTGAAGAGGCACTTAAGGTGAATCAACTATTTTGCGAATGCTGCATACATTTTTGTGGTAGATGCACATCAAATCTAAGTAATGCGACTTTACCCAGAGTCAATTCTGAAATATTTGCTCAGATGATTGGATCTTTTGTACCTCCATTGTGTGCCATGCATGCAGTTACCTTGGAAATAATGATTTTGTTTCTTTGAGCGCATTGGATGGAAAACAAAGTACCTGACCTTGCTTTAAGTACTGTATTCAATACCGTTCAGCAGTTTTGGGATTAATAGGAAATTAATACTTTTATGCAACAAGGATAATGCAATTTAAATTGTTTGTAAAAATGTCATTAAAGACTTTAACCATGTTGTAAATAATTTTAGTATCAAAACATGCTGTTCTTTTGAACTATTAATTCATCAAGAAACCTTGACCAAAAGCTCATTTAATTTCCACCACAAGTCACAAAAATGTTCTGAAATAAAAAAACAATTTTATGATCACCACTTCAGCATATTTGGTGGATTTCTGAAGGATCATGTGTTACTGAAAACTGGAGCAATGAGGCTGAAAATTCAGATATTATCACAGATTAAATTGCATTACATCACATTTAACATTGTTTTAATTAGAAATCATTTGTAATATGTACTCTGTATACTATGTTTACTGTATTTCATTCAGTTTGCAGTCTTAATGATCACAAAAGATTTGATCAAAAACCAATGTCACCAACCATAAATTTGTTGAGTTTGTGTAAGTTCATAATTATATGGATTTAAATTTTATTTATTTATTTATTTATTTATTTATTTATTTTTTTTTTTTTTGCTGTATACTGATTTATTTACTATTGTTGCAGCTGTTAAATCAAATTCTTTGAATATTAAATTCTGAAAAAAAAAAAATTAAGTTAGCACCGTTTTACTATATATGGGAACACAGTTCAGCAAGCATATTGGTTGCCAGAAAACATTGTTTTGGATAATGGTTAAAGGGTTATTTCACATATTGAACATCTTTGGAGAGATTTGAAAATGGCTGTACACCATCGCTTCCCATCCAACCTAATAGAGCTTGAGAGGTACTGCAATGAGGAATGGGTAAAACATCCCAAAGTCATGTGTGCCAAGCTTGTGGCATCTTATTCAAAAATACTTGAGGCTGTAATTGCTTCCGAAGGTGCATCAACAAAGTATTGAGGAAAGGCTGTGAATACTTATGTACATCTGATGTTTTAGATTTTTTATTTTTAATAAATTTGCAACAATTTCAAAAATCTTTTTTTCACATTGTCATTATGGGATATTGTGTGTAGAATTTTGAGGAAATAAATGAATTGAATCCATTTTGGCTGTAACATTAAAAAAATGTGGAAAAAGTGAAGTGCTATAAATACTTTCCAGATGCGCTGTATAACTACTAAAAGACATAAAATATTACAATACAAACTGTATTGTAAATAAATCATATGGACATTTTCGTATTTGTCAATAATATTACTTAAATTAAATTAAAAACTGAATATAAATATATATATTCACACACATTTACACAAGGGAATAAATAGTGGTGGGTTAAAAATTGGTGGAAGTATGTGGATTTCTGCATGCGCCGATTTCATGTGGGCCTAGTTATAGTTTTCCAACATTCTTCAAAATATCTTCTGAACAAAAAGATTCAAAGCAGCTTGAAGCAAGTCAACACTGCAAAAAATGCTTTTCTTACTTAGATTTTTTGTCTTGTTTCTAGTCCAAATATCTACAAATTCTTAAATTAAGAAGCATTTTCTAGACAAGCAAAACATATTGTCTTGTTTTAAGAAATAATATGCTTCATTTTGGCATATTATTTCTTAAAACAAGACAATATATTTTGCTTGTCTAGAAAATGCTTCTTGATTTAAGAACTTTTAGATATTTCGACTAGAAACAAGACAAAAAATCTAAGTAAGAAAATAATTTTTTGCAGTGAAGGGTAAGTAAATAATGACAGAATTAAAATTTTTGTGTGAACTATCTCTTTAACCGTTGTCCAAAACAATGTTTTCTGGTAACCAGCTATGCTAGCTGAACCGTTTATCCACTTTAGCACCCATGGAGATGAAAACTGACCATTATGAAATGAAATGTTTATTTTTTTCATAAGGGATAAAAATAGTATACCCAGTTTACCCGTCATGTTCACGTCATTATCAAGTGCATAAAGAAGAGACATACATACAGCATACAGCATATACTACATATATACTTCATACAGCATGTGATGTTGCACCGTCTCACGAGGCTAAGAGTGTTTTCTGCAGGTCTTACAGGAGTGTGATATTTTTGGTGGATCATGAGTCATCACAAAGACTCTCGTTCTCCTCAGATATTCATGGAAGAAAGGAACCAAGCCGCTGAGCGTGTCGACTGGTGGGCGAGTGTCAATGAAGGAGGGTTCACTCCAAATCAGCCAGACGTGGTCCGGAGACATCGGAGACTACACCTGCAGGGTCATCTCACCAGCTGGGAATGACTCCAAAAGTGCCCGACTGGAAGTCATGTAAGCAGAAATAGACACACAGAGTCAACATGCACGCTCAATAGCAAACGCTCGCTCTTATAGTACAGTACAGCGCACAAAACTCACTACATATAAGCTCGGAGTGCTATTGTAGGAGAAAGATGCTTGGATCCCAGATGTAGTTCTGAAGCCAAAAAAACCATCCAAAAATGGGCTGTAATGATAGGACAGAGGATGGAGCAGCTGTGTATGTGCGTGTGTGTGTGTGTGGCAGCAGGAAGATAAAGCGAGAGTGGAATAAGATAGGCCTGATGCCCAAGGCCAAGATCATCTCCTTTGACGACTAGCCAATGTTGCTACACTTCTGCGGCATCAGGATCTAATTAAACACACACACACACACACACACACACACACGCACTTAGATATTAATTACTGCTTCTAGATGGCTGAATGTTGTTCTTCCACAGATTGTCGTATGGATGGATGCAGAGAAAAATCTCATCGATCTTTGAAGTAGATGAAATGCATGAATGACAGCCGTGCGTTTAATTGGCTGCTTTTGAAAATATTGTTCTCAATCATAAAGACACAAGCGTCAAATTGATCTAAAAATGCCTAAAAACTTGTCTTTTGTAAGCTTTTATAAGTCTTACTTAAGTAGGTTAGGTTAATGCATATACAGTATAGTAGCATTCAAAAGTTTTGGGATCAGTACGATTGTTTATTTCATTTCTTAAGGAAGCAATACCTTTTTTTCAGCAGGAATGTAGTGAGTTGATCAGACTTTTGTTGTATGTTTTTCTCAAACGTAATTTTAAGGTACAGTTCATGCTTATTATTAACAAGCCATTAGCTAAGAAGTTTACCTCAAAAACGTATTCATTACTTATAGTTTTTAGGGCAGTATTTGGTTTCATGGATTGGGTAATATTAGCGATGTAAGAGGTTTCTTTATAAGTAGGGGTGAGCGGGGATGAAAGTAAAAAATTTTTATAAAAGCCTAATTTTAAAAGATATTGTTATATTTGTGCTGTGGATACTAACTTAGGGTGATTTTACACCTTCACTTTTGTTTCGGAACCTGTCTCGTTAGCCCAGTTAGAGCGGTTCATTTGACATATGTGAAACCAGCAATCGCGCTTGGATCCGCGCAAAATCAATCGCTCCGAGATCGCTTGAATGAGGTGGTCTCAGTCTTAGTACTGTCGCCTCCCAGCAAGAAGGTCACTGGTTTGAGTCCTGGCTGGGCCAGTAGGCAGTTCTGCGTGGAGTTTGCATATTCTCCCTGTGTTTACGTGGGTTTTTTCTGGGTGCTCTGGTTTCCCCCACAGTCCAAAGACATGTGAACTGGTACTTAAACTAAATGATACCTATTCATCAATTAAATAAATAAAGCTTTCTATTAATCAAGGAGACCTGGAAAAAAATGGATCCCGAATTCCACAGAAATGTTAAGCAGAGTAACTATTTTCAACATTGATAATAATAAGGAATGTTTTAGGACACTAACACCACTGTCTAAACCAAAGCAACGCGACATGGCAGAAACAATTAAATACCAGCCACTGCACTCCCGGCATAATGGTAAAGGCTTTTACTATAATTAATATACATTAAACTTCTTTAACATTACTAATAGGCTATTGAGTGACTGAGGTTGTTGGTGTGCACAGTTCTGGCTTTCATATTTCAACCGTTTGACAGTTTTTTTTAAGATCTGAGGTAAACTATCTGCTTCTACTTTCAGTAGCATGACAATAAATGTGAAGTAAAATGTCATTTAAACTAAAATTTGTAGCATTTAACACTTAATAAAGCGCATAATCTGTACCTGAGGTAATCATTGGCCCCTTTCACACATACAGACCTTTCCGGAAAAATTACCGGCAATTTTCCGGAAAGGTGTGTATGTGTGAACAGGGCCTTTTTAAAAATACCGGTAAATTCGTTCTGGCTATTTTCCAGAAAGAGAAGTTGTAACATTACCGGTAATTTGCTGGAATGCTGCGCTGTGTAAATGCAGAAGGAAGATTGCCGGAAAGAGCGCTTGCATGTCTAGAACGTGCTGACGTGAGACGTCTACTGTAGCCAGTCAGACGCATTCACGTCCACGCGGTTTATGGGAATAAAAGCCTTTGAATATTTTTCCAGACACATTTAGCTGCTAGAAATTAGGCAGATAACGTTTATATGTTCATCTTAATGCCAACCGCATAATTAATTATCGATCAGATGCTTATAAGCCGTTGTTTGTTTACCTTCAAGCTTTACGTGTGCCTGTGAAACATCCTGTGAGCGTCAGCACACACACATATCATGTACATCTCGACATGCGAAAGTGTTTCTCTGTATGTTATCATAGAAGTTGTTCATAGAACAGTTGGTGATATAGTCAAATGTTTACGAATACAACCGCAGCCGTTTAGAGGTCATTTCTGGTTAACGATGTCAGAATCACCGGTATTTTGGAATGGATGTGTGAATGATCTTTTCCGGAAAAATTCTGTAACGTCCCCGCCTGTGTGAACAGCTCTTTTTTGAATTTAATGTTACCAGTAAAATCGTTCTGGAAATTTTTCATATATTTACTGATATCACAGTGTGAAAGGGGCTATTATCATATAGTATATGCTGTTGTTCTGGTGCAACAACATAGAAATCAAAACTGTTTCTAAAATATAAATTTTGCACATCGCCGGTGAAGATGGTCTGGACAAAAACTCTTTTTAAAATGGAAAAGATACCTTTGGTTTTAGGGCACGGTGTAAGTCAGCAAATTAGAATATTTTTGGAAAGATCCCGTCTGCCATTGGTCAGGAAAACAAATAATCGCATCATATAAAGCAGTCTTGCTTTGTTACTATTCTTTTAGAAATAAACCAGTCGAAGCTTAAATGTTGTTCTTATAACACAAATCATTTGCTTGCAAAAACAAGCGTACAGTAGCTCGTGAAATCCAATTCCTAGTGCTCAACTGTGAGAAAAGCTGAGAAATATTACAAATCATAAATCGCACTAAGCATAACCGTAATAAACTGTGTGATTTGCAAATGTGCTTACCAGCCTGCATTGTAGCACAATTCTTTTAGCACTACTTAGCGGAACGCATAATAAAGCAATATTTAATTTAAGACACGTTATTCTGTGAAGGAAAAAATACCGGGTTCGGGCTGACTGTAGAAAAAGACTACTACTGTAGAAGCTGACATTTAAATTATGGGATACAAATTGAAAACACATGCGGTTTGAATAATAACAATAATACCTTTGACAGTCGCATTAAGATAACAGAGCACCACAATATACTCCTACCTTTAATATTACAGCCTGCAAACTCTGTTGGAGAAAAAAAAACTCATCAGAAGGTTGAAGGGGAGGCAATGCTTCACATGCTAATGTGATTTCACAGACTTTCAAGTTAATCTCATGCAGTGGACAGGTCCTCTCATTACCACATGTTAGAGGATAGAGAAGCAGTTCTTCGCTTTAAACAATGTTAGATGTTATTGCATATTTAGGCTGTTGTGACAGATGGCAAAAACTCTCTCGCATATATTACAAGCATTTCCAAAGGACATAATTGTGTTATGTGATATTGTAATGTAGTTTTTGTAAATGTAACATTGTTGAAGAAGCTGTGGAACTTTTGATTTGGCAACAGCGGAAAGTGATAGTTTAAAAATAAGCCTTCAGACAAGTTGTTCAGACTTTTGTTGTTCAAATACTACTGGAATCAAAATAGCTGAATGTTAATGCTGCTCTTTAACAATACATGCTACTCATTCAAGTCGAATAATGGGACGTTGTACCACAAAACCCTTTGCAGAGTTTTTTTGTTGTTGTTGTTGTTTTTGTTTTAATTGATAACTGAAATCTGAAATCTAAATGAGTAAGCTTTCATTAATGTATTGTTTGTAAGAATTAGAGATAAAACTAATTGTATATCTGGAATCTGAGGTTAAAACAAATCTAAATATATATATATATATATTATAATATATATATATATATATATATATATATATATATATATATATATATATATATATATATATATATATATATATATATATATAATGCCTTTAAAGTTAACAAAACTTGTCAAAAGAAATACCAACTGTAAATGCACGGTTGTAAATTACAATAAAAATGTATAAAATGGAGCAAATTACAACATTTCTAAATCAGAAAATGGAGCAATTTATATAATTCTGGGAAAATGGACCAATTATACATCACATAGACATGATTTTCTTTGTTAGTTTAAAACAGAGATGCCCAAAACAAAGTTTGCCCCATGGTAATCTAAAAAGCTAAAAAAAAAAACTTAAATGTTTCAATTAATTGCATAAATTAATCAGATTTTGTTTAAATGTCACCCGACAATGCAGAGCCTTTGATGAGCAAATCAAGTCAATAGCAGATTCTGCTTGACTAGGGTATTCAGCGTTAAACTTCACTGTGTTATAAATGTAATTGTTTGTTTTTATTGCTGTAAGTTCTCATTTAAAAAGTTATACTGCATTGCATCTCAATGATATTTTGTTTTTGGCTCCTCATACGAAAAAGGTTTGAGAATACTTGGTTTAAAATATAATGGATCACTCCCAATACCAAAATTTTTCCCTGATATTATTTTATTTTTTACTTATTTTTGTTTTCTCTTTGTTTAATTTTTTATGGATAACATAAGTTTACGTCCGCACAAAAAGGAAAGCATATAATGCTGAAAGAGAAAGTAGCTGTACATAATTTTTGCTTATTTTTTGTGAGTGTATTTACATGTATGATATCTGACATGCATTTGATTTAGTGTAGTACTATTTAAAGAAAAAAAAGTTAACTAAAAAAGTTCTCATCAATCCAACTTATGTTATGAATTAAAAAAATAATAATAATAATAATTATATATTTTATTTTTTTATTATTATTTTTTTAGCTATTGTCATAAAATATACCCATGCAACATAAAATGTTTAGTGGTCCAGGGTCACAAATGCACAATAATTTTTTTTTTTTTTTTTTTGCCATAATTTCCACTTGCGGATCTGATATTATTCAGAATATCCTCTTTTGTGTTTTATTCAAGTGTTCAGTTATAAAGGACTGGCCATCAATGACGTAAAATACTTTTTTTAATCGAATACAACATTAAATAAAGGTTTAGCTAAAGCCTTCTTGGTAATTCACAAAGCTCTAAAGCAACTAAAACTGAACCCTACTGAAAAATGTTACCAATATTATAGTTTTATTAAATGGATGTTGGGTGGCGCAGTGGGTAGTGCTGTCGCCTCACAGCAGGAAGTAGCTGGTTCGAGCCTCTGCTGGGTCAGTTTCCATTTGTGTGTGGAGTTTGCATGTTCTCCCCGCGTTCATGTGGACATGTGGTACAGGTGAATTGAGTAAGCTAAGAATTGTCCATAGTGTTTGTGTGTGAACAAGAGTGTATGGGTGTTTCCCAGTGATGGGTTCCAGCTGGAAGGGCATCCGCTGTGTAAAACATATGCTGGATAAGTTGGCGGTTCATTCCGCTGTGGCGACCCTTGATTAATATAGGGACTAAGCCGAAAAGAAAATGAATGAATGAATGAATGAATGAATTAATTAATTAATTAATTAATTAATTAATGGATGTTATATTTTCTCAGGAATTGAGGGGTTTTTGTTGACACATTTACTCGAGCACAAAAGAAAAAATCTACATGCATCTCAATCATTTTAATGTAGCTTTTGTCAAAGAATCGTTCTGTATAGGATCTTTTTGAGATGCCACAAACACCTTGCAGTCATAAAGAATGTATTTTTCTTGTGGTAGATATTTATTTTATTTTATTTATTTATTTATTGAGTAATCATGCTTCTATCTACCCACCATTTGTCCTCCACTGAACTGTAGAAGCTTCGATTTGAAAGAACACACTGCATCAAAGACACAAATCTACAAAGTGACTTGCATGTATTGAACATACAAGCCTAAAGGCTATTTATGCTCTCTGAGTCAAGCATCTTTATCAGTATTGAACATTGTTAAGGTGAGAGATTTGAACTCATAAGCCCAATAAACATAACTCGTCCTACACTTTTCTAAACCTGACTTACCAAATTGAAAAAAAAAACAAATAAAACATCTGTTTCTGACGTCCATTTTTGTAGAACAAAGTTGAAGTAGAATGTTTAGTAATTAATTTCTTTAATTTTTGGATAATTGAATTAGACTTTTGTTTTAACTGTATGTTAACTGTGTTTCCACTTATTGCAATTCTTGATTCGGTCTCCATGTTTTCAGAGAACTTCCACATTCTCCACGCAACCTTCAGGTGGCTTTAAATGAGACTGACAGCAGGACGGTTCTTCTGTCGTGGGTTCGACCATTTGATGGGAACAGCCCTCTCCTGCATTACATCATTGAGTTCTCTGAGAACAGTAAGTGCGTGTGTGTGTGTTTGTGCACTTGCCTACCTATTGTATCTAAGAGGGGACTTTGGTGTCGGCGCCAATAGCCTAGTGGTTAGTGCGTCGACACATAGCACCAAGGTGCTCATGGCAACCCTGGTTTGATTCCCAGCTCAAGGTCCTTTGCCGATCCTTCCCCTATCTCTGCTCCCCACACTTTCCTGTCTGTAAAATCTCCACTGTCCTATCCCAATAAAGGTGAAAACCCCCACAAATATATATAAAAAAAAAAAGAGGGGACTTTGGTGTCATTACACACCCACTAACAGGGGATCTGGAGCCAAGAGGGGACATTTTTTAGGTTGCCTGTTAAACATGCCTTAATTCATGCTCAAATCAAATGAAAAGGCCTCTGGTGTACTGTGTTTCACTCTGCTTCACACTCAGTGTCACTGCAGTCTATGAAGGTCCCCTGTAGCGTGGGTAGATGTCACTTAGAGATTCAGGTCCCCACTTGTATTTATAAAAAAAATGAGAAAAACAGTTCATAAATCATACAGAATTAAGTATTCTGAAAATTTACAACTGCAGAATGTCTTTTTTTCTGTAAAGGCTGGGATTAGAGGTAGGGTTGGGGGAAGAGTCTTTACTGTATGACTATACGCTATATGAAAGTCCTTATAAAGCATGAAAACATAACATGTGAATTAGGGCTGCACAATATGGGAAAAATCTGACATAGATTTTATTTTGATAGCGATGTATATTGCAATATGTATATTTCTCCATATTAATTCATTAGGTTTATTTGGAAAGATTTCATATATTTAGATTAGTGGTCCTCAACCACCGGGTCGCAGAGCGGTACTGGATCAATTTGTACTGGCCGCACAAGAAATCAGTAATTATTTACATTTTGTTTATTATCTGAATAATAAGTCTGAACTATCTTTTGTTTTGAATAATGACTGTATTTTCTCACTTATATCTCAATTGAGCACCCAAATTAACCCACAAGCAGCAAAATGAGTAAGAAACAGACGCCTTTGGAAAGTTTCTTTGCTAAGGGGAAACGCCCAGTGATGGACACAAAAACTGCCAATGAATAGATCTGCAACACATTTGTCAACAATTCAGGTGAATCTAATATATCTGTGCAAGAAGATCAATTGCTGGAGATCGCAAATAAGGCTGTTTGCATATTGCGTCTTTTCTATAGTTTTTGCAAGTTCGTTATTTCCAAAGAAGGTGTGCAGCTTGACATGGCATGACATGTTCGCGCCTTCCAGATGCATCCTGTTTAATGAATGGCGCGAGAGCACCACAAGTCATGTGACATGAACTGACTGATCAGCTTCAGCTTGAATGTAATATGCACATTTTGGTAGACTAATTATCTCAGAACACCCAAATACTGCAGTGATTTTTAATATTCTCCATAAATAAAACTTGTATCAGAGTGACAGCAATGTTTTGTCAGCTTGTCATCCTCTGAGTAAAAGGTTGATGGTCACCTAGCAACCTACGAACCAACAACCACCCTAGTCCTTGGTAATATTTTCAAGAATTGACTGATCAGTGGTGATAAAAATGTTAGGGACCACTGATTAAGATAGATTGGGACAATCAAATATTTTTCTAAGCAGTGCATAAATTATAATAAATTACAATCATTAGATTTTTAGTCTAACAGTATCCAGGTACAGCAGAAATTGAACATGGTACAGAAATTAACATGGTTATTGTTGTATAAATAATAAAAAAAATCAATATTTAATAAATAATCTAATCCTCCAATGTGACTATGTAGATACACACATTGCAATATTGATGCTCAAACGATATTTTGTGCAGCTAAAAGAAAAAAAAAAGAGTGTGTGTGTGTAACTTGTATTCCTTACATTGTGGGCATAGCAACTTCTGTAAATTGTGACCTTGTTGGGACATTTTTGTGGTTCCCATGAAGAAAACGCTTCATAAATGACACAAAATTATGCATTTAAATAAGTAAAAAATCGAAATCAGAAATCGAGACGCATCAGACCAGGTATCGTTTTTCCAATCTTCTAATTCAAATTTTGGTGAGCCTGTGTGAGTTTTAGCCTCAGTTTCCTGTTCTTAGCTGACAGAAGTGGCACCCGCTTTGGTCTTCTGCTGCTGTTGCCTATCTGCCTCAAGGTTTGATAAGGTTTGCAGACCTCGGTTGTAACGAGTGCTTATTTGAGTTACTGTTGCCTTTCTATCAGCTCAAACAAGTTTGGCCATTCTCTTCTGACCTCTGTCATCAATAAGGCATTTGTGCCCACAGAACTGCCGCTCACTGGATATTCTATCTTTTTTTGACCATTCTCTGTAAACCCTAGAGATGGTTGTGCGTGAAAATCCCAGTAGAGCAGCAGTTTCTGAAATACTCAGAGCAGCCCATCTGGCACAAACAACCATGCCACATTCAAAGTCACTTAAATCACCTTTCTACCCTATTCTGATGCTCGGTTTGAACTGCAGCAGACCGTCTACATGTCTAAATGCATTGAGATGCTGCCATGTGATTGGCTGAATAGGGATTTGCATTAACCAGCAGTTTGTACAGTATAAACGTCATTACGGAAGTCCTCATAAAGATAGCTGTACGTTTGTTTGTGTGTGTGTGTGTGTGTGTGTGTGTGTGTGTGTGTGTGTGTGTGTGTGTGTGTTTGTGTGTGTGTGTGTGTGTGTGTGTGTGTGTGTGTGTGTGTGTGTATGTCTGTTTTTATGAGCTGTGGCGTATGCTTTATTAAACTTAATGCACCTTAGCTACAGCTTTCAATTAAGCTGGTTTGCAGCAAGTGAATTCCAGCGAAGAAGCTCTTTCTCATTTACCTCTCGCTGTCTTCCTGCCTGAGCTCCAGAATGCAGACAGACAGGCTGAAGCCACTAAGAAGAGAGGAGAAATGGGGTTGATTGTAGCGGAGGGCAGTGGGAGGAGGTTTGTTTTCGCCGTATTACGCCAAGACTCTGTTATTGGTGGAAGATGCATGCTGGAAAGGACAGTGACACGAAAACGAAAGAGAAAGAGATTGATTTCTGTTTCGTCAAAAGGAAAGACAATGAAAAATGTGGGTGGGACTGAGGTGCTGGATGTCTAATAAACACCCATATCTTTCTCTGCTCATATACACAAACAGAAACACACACCGTTGATTACAAGCAGTTGATTTTGAGTAAATCCAAATGATCACACACGCTATTATTCTGATGGTTTTGTCTTTGTTGGTATTCGCATGCATCCCGCAGCTTAATATTTACTGTTCCTGTTGAATTTGTGATTTATTTTTCGGCACTTGCTCATGGTTTCTGTCTTCTCTTGGGTCTGCTTGAGTGGTTTTACCGTCTAAATTGTTCATTGATCTGCTTCCCATCATTTTTAATGTACTGCAAGCACACACACATAAACACACACACTCATATATTGGGAGTTGTGGGTAGTAACGCCTCCAGAATAAACAACAGCACAGTCAAATTCATCATTTACCCAACTGCTGTAAAGAAAGAGATGATGGGAGCAGCTGATAATAAATCAAGTGAAATACATAAAGCAAAAACAACACTCTTTCTTTGACACTTAATTTTACTTGTTGTAGTCAGAAGTGAAAAATAATCTTGCAGGAATAAACAATGTGTTACAATCTCTCATGTTTCCTTGATTTTTCTCTTTTTTTTTCTTTTTTTTTGTAAATAGTGATTTTCATGAAGTTGAATTAAAGATATGTTGTCCAGGACAATTTTGGCTTGTATTTATTGAGTTATTTTAAACATAATAATACAATCAGCCAGTAAGTGTGTCTGATTGGTTGATTCATTTGAATTTCACTATCAAAACTGATTGAGAGGCTGTGAGTTTGCCTGGATGAGTTTTGAGTAAATAACAAATAAAATAAGGGTTTATTTATTTACGTTTTAAAATATATTTAATGTGTGTGCGTGTATATATATACACACAGACACACACACTCAGAGGCCACTTTATTAAGTACACCTTACTAGTACCGCTTTTGACCCCTTAAGCCCCCAGAACTGCCTTAATCATCCGTGGCATAGATTCAATAAGGTACTGGAAATATTCCTCAGAAATTTTGGTCTATATTTACATGATAGCATCACGCAGTTGCTGCAGATTAGTCGGCTGTACATCCATGATATGAATCTCCCATTCCACCACATCCCAAATGTGCTCTATTGGATTGAAATCTGGTGACTGTGGAGGCCATTTGAGTACAATAAACTCATTGTCATGTTCAAGAAACCTGTCTAAGATGATTCGCGCTTTATGACATGTCGCGTTATCCTGCTGGAAGTAGCCATCAGAAGATGGGTACACTGTGGTCATGAAGGGATGGACCTGGTCAGCAAGAATACTCAGGTTGGCTGTGGCAATACTCACTTGGTACCAGTGGGCCGAATGTGCCAAGAAAATATCCCCCACACACCACCCACATTACACCACCACCACCAGCCTGAAACGTTTATGCAAGGAGGGATGGATCTATGCTTTCATGTTGTTGAGGCCAAAACCCTACCATCTGAATGTCGCAGCACAAATCGAGACAAATCAGACCAGGCAACATTTTTCCAATCATCGATATCCAATTTTGGTGAGTTTGTGTGAATTGTAGCCTCAGTTTCCTGATCTTAGCTGACAGGAGTGGCACCCGGTGTGGTATTCTGCTGCTGTAGCCCATCCGCCTCAAGGTTCGGTGTGTTGTGCATTCAGAGATGCTCTTCTGCATACCTCGGTTGTAACTACTGGTTATTTGAGTGACTTTTGCCTTTCTAACAGCTCGAACCAGTGTGGTCATTCTTACCGTTGGCATCAATAAGGCATTTGTGCCCATAGAACTGCCGCTCATTTGATTTATTTATTTTTTGACCGTTCTTTGTAAAGCCTAGAGATGGTTGTGCGTGAAAATCCCAGTAGATCATAAGTTTCTGAAATACTCAGACCAGTCTGTCTAGCACCAACAACCGTGCCAAATTCAAAATCACTTCAATCACCTTTTGTCCCCATTCTGATGCTTAGTTTGAACTGCAGCAGAACGTCTTGACCATGTCTACATGCCTAAATGCACTGAGTTGCTGCCATGTGATTGATTAGAAATTTGCTGTAATGAGCACCTGGACAGTACCTAATAAAGTGGCCGGTGAGTGTATATTTCTTGTTAAACACCAATTAGCATACCATAGCACATATATATATATATATGTGAAAGAAGAAAAACACTGATGTATTCTGATTGTTATAAAAACTGATTTTTCAATATAGTGTTGTAAATGAGGTTTACATTCACTGCAAGGCTATTCATTTGCATGTAAATAAGTACATCAGGTTATTGCGGTATATAGATTTTTGGTGGTAACGAACAAACTGATGCGCAATACTGTATTGTATTGTTGCTGTATTGTTGGTATATATGATTTTGTAGTATGTTAACATGGATGCAGTAAACGTTTTTTGTCTCTTTGTTCTTGATAGATTCTCCGTGGAAGGTCTACATGGATGATGTTAGTCCTACACTAGCCAGTTTGCTAGTAATTGGTCTAACACCAGCAAGAACGTACCAGTTCAGAGTGTGTGCTGTCAATCAGGTGGGACGTGGACAGTACAGCGCTGAAACCAACAGGTAAGAAATCACAAGTTAACGTCTTAGCCTTTTAGCTTAGCCAATCGCTAACATTACAGTTCTGTAGATTAACTAGAACTGAATGTTTTTGGTAAATCAAGAATCAGTGAAGGTAAATAGACCTTACATTATAACCCTTTAAGAAAATGAATCTGGTTTTATTACATTTTGTATTTTGTATCATTGTTAGCTAAACAATGCATAAGCGTGGCATTTTTAGAAAAACTGTGGATAAACAAATGGTAATCTAGGTGTCAAAAATCATGCTACTATACATTTATTATAATAAAACTAAAACCATGGTTCATTTAATAAGTGTATATAATGGCAGAAAACAGCAGATGCTATTGCTAACTAGCTAACTTTGTTTCTAAAGTCTTTTGAATACTGTCTGTTGTGATTTATATAGCCAGTCAAGCAGATTGGAACTGGTCATTTACAGCAACTCTTGCCATTTTTGTAATTCCACACACACGAGCACACACACACACATCCTCAGCCAGTTGGAGGGAATGTTATTAAATGCGAGGGACAGGATTTGAACCCTATCAAAAGAAAGGCTGATTGTAATTGAATTACATGAGAGCTTTCATCACTGGCTCTGATTGTGAGCCATTATGACACATGGGCAGAAAAAAGGACCAATATCCAGGAACACGACGGAAGGTGTGAGAAATAGCATTTCTCAAAGCCAATTCCACACGGTGAAAGAATGTCAAACACAAACTTGGCTGGAGGGAAGGACACTTCAGCTCACGCAGAGGCCACTGCGTTTTGTGCTCTCTATTTTGTTTGGCGAATTTTTATTCGTGCATAAAATTGGCACGCATCACAATGACTGCATTCCAAATCGAATCAAGTCGCTCAAAGAACTTAAAAGTCCTGAAAAGTTCAAATGGCTATTTTTCACTCCACAGGCATAAAGATAATGCACATGCCAAGCACTTTTTTTGCTAAACGGCAGGAAGAAGTGCATGCTCAATCATCAAGGACATGTTGAAAAAGCTTGTCATGCTGTTTTTCTAGTTCTTAACATTCATTTGAAGCCAGCCTCCATTATACCGACATTGCTGGTTTATATTCAATAGTACCAGTTCAGTTGATCCAATGACTCCCTCTGCCCTCTAAATAATCGTTTATCCCCAAAATGCAAATGTTATCATTCACTCATTTTCCACTTTATTTCAAACCTATTCTTTTTTTTTTCTCTGTTAAAATAATGAAAACAGGTAGTGATTGACTTCCACAATACATTTTTCCTACTATGAAAGTCAATGGTTACCGGTTCCAACATTCTTCAAAATATCTTATTTTGTCTTCAACATTTAAACATGATTTTTTTTTATTGTAGAAAACAGGTATTGCTTGACTTCTATAGTATTTTTTTTCTTACTATGAAAGTTAATGGTTACCGGTTCTAATGTTCTACAAAATATCTTATTTTATGTTTACCATTTAAACATTATATATATATTTTTAATTGTTGAAAACAGATCATGATTGACTTCCATAGTATTTTTTACTACTATGGCCGTCAATGGTTTCCAGTTCCAATAATCTTCAAAATATCCTATTTTATGTCTAATATTTTAACAAGATTCTTTTTTTTATTATTGTTAAAAAAGGGATTATATGTAATAAATGTCAGTATGCATATAAATTTTTTCCTACTATGGAAGTCAATAATTACCAGTTCCAACATTCTTCTAAATATTTAATGTTTTACATCTAAACAATATTTTTTTTTATTTTAAAAAGCAGATAGTGATTGACTTCCATAGTTTTTTGTACTATGGAAGACATTGGTTACCTGTTCCAACCTTCTTTAAAATATCTTATTTTGTCTTCAACATTTAAACATGTTTTTTTATTTTTTTTTAGTGTAGAAAACTCACACACACACACACAAACACACACACACACACTCACACACACACACACACACACACACACACACACACACACACACACACACACACACACACACACACACACACATACACTATACAATTCTTTAATTGTAGAAAAGGTAGTGATTGACTTCCATTGTATATTTTTCCTACTATTAAATGGTTACCGGTTCCAACATACTTGAAAATGTCTTATTTTATGTTCAACATTTAAACATGTTTTTTTATTATTATTATTATTATTATTATTATTGTAGAAAACAGGTAGTTATTGACTTCCATAGCATTTTTTTTTTAATTCATTGGTTACCGGTTCCAACATTCTTTTAAATATTTTATGTTCAACATTTAAACATGATTTTTAAAAAAAAAAATTTTTAAAACAGGTAGTTATTGACTAACATATAATTTTTTTTTCCTACTACGGAAGTCAACGGTTACCAGTTCCAACATTCTTCAAAATATCTTATCTTATCTTCAACAGAAAAAAGAAACTGATAAAGGTTTGGAATCACGTGAGGGTGATGAAATGATGAGTAAATAAGTGGACTATTTCTTTAAACTCAAATTGCTTAAGTCTGATTGGTGCTGAAGGTGTTTTAAATTCACTAATATTTAATGGGTGCTTATAGATTTGTTAAAGAATAAAGTAATACTTAAGTAAAGCATTTAGTTTCAGAAGTCAAATTGCACTGACTGTTATTGTATTCTCTTTTATGTTTCATGTTTCTGTTCATAATCTTCCTCTTCTGGCTACTGCTATTTTCCAATATTACTCTCTTGTCCTCTCTTGTTGTTCTAATTAAATTCACATCCAATGTGCAATGTTTTGTGGGTAATATTAGTAGTTAGAGTACGGATGGTCCTACTCTTCGAATTTCTACCGGAAATAGTAGACCATCTGGGAACCTTTGGCATGCTCTTTTGAACATACTATGATTTGGGACACACTAATTTTATTTTTGAATACTAATTAGGATGAATAGATTGCAAATTGGGACGCAGAAAATTAAATCTATATTACAAATTTTAACTCAGGAGTTGGGTTGCCCATAGTTGACCAAACTTTGTTAAAACAACTCAGCATTTTTGTGAGGGATCTTTGAGTAATCTCAAGTGTATATATATATATATATATATATATATATATATATATATATATATATATATATATATATATATATATATGCCATTCATAACCATTTTTGGTCCTTTAGCTCTCCCCACGAACTACAGTCTTGTTGCTTGGTGTCAGTAATTGTATTTTTCATTGTTAGTTACTATTAGTTGTGCATTAACTAATTGACCTTTCTATAAAGTTTTACTCAGTACTTACTCATGCAGTTACTGTATTTCACACAGTGTATCATCTGATAGCCTTAATTACAGAAGACGTTGTCACATCTGATTCATTCTTGCTCAATTTTTCTGCACTTTTTTAGACGAATGCAATTTACACAGATTTTTCAGTAATTCTATTGACAACAGCTCATATACAGCGAAATATCCCAGCTAGTAAGTCAACCATGTCAAAGCCTGTTTGCAACATTGAAAACAGATGTGCATCATGCAAAATCCATGAGGCAAAATTACTGGCACGGTTACAACTACTCAGAAATGATTATTCGCTTAATGCACTGTAAAAAGCTGTTAGTTGCTTTACTTACAAAAAGTGAGAAAATCCTTTGCCTGAAAAGCAACAAGTTGACTTTACCTAAACCCAGTGAAACTTGGAACAGTTGACTTATCTTAATTTTTTATAATTATGCACACACACACAAAAAAAGAAGATTTTTGCTGCTTGTTCAAACTACTGATTTAAAATGAACTGAAACAACAAACGTTCTAAGATTTTTTTGGGACAACTTAATTGTTCTATAGACTTACATTTTTAGAAACAATTTCAAGAGCTCGCATTTAGCTGATGATTGATTATAAAGCTTGTTTGGCATGCTGTCCCGGGAGAGCTTATAAGATCCTCAAGCCCAGGGCTCCCTCCTATTGCAGGGCGAGAGGGGAGTCTGAGCTCATGTGGATCTCGGAGCTCCTCTGCTGTAGTAACTAATGGACAGATATGGGTTGCTGTAAAGAGATAACTACTTACTAGGAGCACGTCTATGGTGCTGATTTGGATAAATCAATTAACTTAGCATGTTTTTAAACGGTGGGAGGAAACTGGGGAACCTGGGGGAAACCCACGTGAGCATGCAGAGAACATGTAAATTCCACACAAAAACGTTGACTGGCTTGGTAAAGACTAGAACCAGTGACATTCTTGCTGTGAGGAAACATGGCTAACCACTGGGCCACCGTGCCACTCAACTAGGGAAGGAGGAGGAGTAAGGGTGGGAGGGGGATTCTTCAATGAAGATGAAGATGACTTTGGTATTAGGTTATTTATGGTGACTTAGAAATCCTCTGATTGGTGAATTAGCTAACGCAGGACCAGCTTTGTTCAATCATAAGCACGTGATCCTATTGAATTTAGTTAATAAATAAACTGTAGTTGGGTTTAGATATTGGATAGGACAGGTAATAAGTCAGTAGTAAATAGCATGAATTGTGACTTAAGTGTTATATTTTTTTTAAAGTAAATTTCTATTTACAATGTGGAAAGTCTGCTTTATAATCTGCTTAATAATATGAGCTGGTCATCAATTTAACATTTAACTGACCATCTAACTTGTTAAAACTATGGTATTTCAATTAATCGTTATCAGTGGTGTAAAGTAACTATTTACAAATACTTAAATTACTGTAACTGAGTAGTTTTTCCTCAAGAATTGTAATTTACTAAGTAGTTTTAAAAATGTGTACTTTCACTTTCCCTTGAGTACATTTTTAGGGCTGTATCTGTACTTCTACTCCACTACTTTCCTTCAGCCTGCAGTCGCTACTTTATTTTTTTCTTGTCTATGGGGATTAGAAAAATCAGTCCTGTGATTCCTGTCCAATCAGATCGCACATAGAAGGTAAATCACATCATAATGAACTACCTCAAGACAAGTTTACTTTATAATTGCAGCAAACTGTTTGGAAGCATTAAAAGCGTCCAAGAAGATGTCCAAAATCTTTACACACATTGACCCAGAGACTGTTTAGATGCATGTCACTGATGAGAAAATGACGGATGTTTGCTGTATGATGACCAAAATGGGCTTAAACACCCAGCAGGCACAAAACATCAACATGACACCAGATTGACGTTGTATTTTTGTTTGTAAATGAAAATCAGACGTCAGAACTCCTAAACCTAAAATCACCCAAATATCAACGTCTAATGATGTTACAGCTTGGTGTTGTGTGGACGTTACCACTATGACGTCTATCAGACGTTGGATTTTGGTTGCCAAACCTAGCAAATAAATGTCAGTATTTGATGTCAATATGATGTTGGTTTTAAGATGTTGGCTTGACGTTGGATTTTGGTCACTTTCTAACAACCTAAAATCAACCAAATATCAACATCATTTGACGCTGTTATTGGACATCAAATTAACGTTGTCCTTAGACGCTGGTTAAACATTGTCACCTGACATCACAACCTAAATCTAGCCAAATATGAATGTTTTATGATGTTGTGTGCCTGCTGGGCAATAACTTGATGCTTGATGATTTCTCAGTACTCTTTCCACCACTTATCATTTTACAGTAATATTCACTTTTATCCCTGATGCCTAAAATGAGATGTAGAGAACTGTCTGTTGTAGAAACAAAGTTTTATTGTCTAAAAACTCAAGTTTTTAATCTCATGTAAGCAGCAGGGAAAATTCTGTTTTAATAGCTGAAGCAAAAGTATGTGATTTTAAAACTTCCAGCCTCGCAAAGCATCTTTCAAACAGAATGTTTCATTTAAAGTGCTTAGTTAAAACAAGAGGAAAGGGCAGAAGTGCAAAGATGAAGACGAACAGAAACACAAAAAATCAAATATTGATGGAGAAGGGCACTTATTAAAATTTGAGCACCTATCTGCTTTGGCCTCGTTTCCAATTAACGTCAGGCTCATCATCTGTTATATGAAAAATTCAAATCTCTATTTCTTTTATTCCTCTTGTTCATTTTTGTCAAAGTACCATCAAAGGAATTGAGTAAAATAACTCGCTGTATGAACCTTTTTTTTATTCCATTCAGGGGGGGCTTCAAAGCTAGCTGTAAATTCATATTTGGTGCATTGCAAACAAAGTCAACGTCCAACTAACTTTTCTAATAATTTGTGATCAAATGAACACTCAATGAAATGAACACTCATTTTTGTTTGTGCTTAATTAATCAACAACCGCTATTGCCATTCACAGTAATGACAAAAACAATATAATAGAAATGCCCTCAATACCCAACCCAGCGAAAGAAACAAACGATAGACTAAAAGAACCGCTCCTAAGCCTTTTAAATTGGTTTAGGATGATTATTGTTTATTTGACAAAACATCAATCAGACTTAGCAACTTTCCTACGAGATTGCTTGCTTTAGGCACTTTAGGCCTTGCTCACTTAATCAAGCTAATAACCTTTAAACCGCAGATTAGAGCGAAGGATTGTTTATCGCCTGCTCTGGGGATCTACAGTTTTCAGAATCCTGCAAAAGCCCAAGGTATTGATCAACTTGAGAAATTAAAGAGTTCACTGATTTACACTGATGGGGTCAAGCTGAAAACAGATTTTTCTGGTACTGTAGCTTCTAACTGCTTATATATAGATCAGTTTTAGCATTGTTTAGATATGGGATGTACTGAAGTTTAATTAAAGCTATTTGCTCTGATTTAGTTTAGGAGAAAGCCTATTTAGATTTAAGGATTTAACAGTCTGTCAGCTAAAAATGCCACAATAGTTTACTGTTCCAAATGTTTTCGCAACAACATTCAGGGCTTTTTTTAAGGCTTTATTAAGCACATTTCTCTGACAGAATTTCATTAAAAAAAGCATTTTTTAATAACTCACTGTTAACAATTTTTGTAAATTGCACATTATTTAACTGTAATATGTACTGTATTTTATTATATGACAGTTTTGATGTATGTTACTGCATTTTAAAGTCGCATTGTGAACATTACTGTATATTTTACAGTAAATATAGATATAATACAATTCTGTAAATACATATACAGCAAGATAAATGTTGCAGTATGTCATGGAAATACAGTATTAATCTAATGTTATAGTATAGCATAGCTTATAGTATTCTAGTAAGGACATTTTCAGCCCATTATCAACATTGAAATGCTGCAAAAATTCTCGTCTTAGATATCATAGTTCACATTAGATTCATATTTATTTTTTAAATGAGCTCAAATTTTTTTAAATGTTAAAAATAAAGACAAACTTTTTTTATTATTACAGGCTACACTAAATAAAAAAACCAGAATCCTCAGTGGGTGACACCAAATCTTTTTTACTGAATTGTTTAATCAGATTTCACTTTTTTACAGTATCAGTATCACAATTGTTAAAATTGCAATAAAGTATTTAATCAATCAATCAATCAATCAATCAATCAATCATCTTTAATTATATAGCACCTTACTACAACCAGAGGACTGTCTAAAGTTCTTTACAGCAGTAAAATAAAATTACACATTAAAGCACTGGTAAGAACACAATCTAAACAAGAATGTCGATAAAACAGCATTTTGCACTGAATAGCAAAAGCATTTCTAAATAAATGCCCTTTTAAGTTTTGCCGTAACCAGTGTCACATTTGTGAGCAAAGTTCCATAGAGGGGGTATTCAACAGTTTTGACCTGCCACTGCAAAAGGACGATCACCGCGTTCTTTTACCTGGATGTGGGGACCTCCAGCAACAACTGACCTGGCGATCATAGAACCTTGTCAGGTTTATGAAACTTCAAAATCTCACATAAATATGAAGGCACAAGACCATTTACTGCATTAAAAACAAACAACAGTAGTTTAAAATCAATTCTGAAATTAAAAGGAAGCCAAAACAGTCCTATAGAGGGTGGTATTCCACATTTTTGGACTTGCCAATGTAAAAAAAAAACAATCACCCCATTGTTCATACCTGGACATAGAGACCTCCAGCAACAACTGACCTGCCAGTTTTAGGGGCCTGTTAGGTTTACGAACCTTTAAAATCTCACATACTGTAAATATGAAGGTGCAAGACCATTAACTGCATTAAAAAGAAAGAACAGTAGTTTAAAATCAATTCTGAATTTAACAGGGAGCCAAAAAAGTGCTATAGGGAGGGTATTCCACAGTTTTGACCTGCCACTGCAAAGGAATGATCACCCCGTTGTTTAAACCTGGATGTGGGGACCTCCAACAACAACTAACCTGCCGATCGCATGGCCCTGTTAAAATCTCACATAAATATGAAGGCACAAAACCAATAACTGCATTAAAAACAAACAACAGTAGTTTAAAATCAATTCTGAATTTAACAGGGAGCCAATAAAGAGAATAAAGAACAGGCATGATGTGCTGCACCAGTTGTAACTGATGAAGTTAGGTTTGGTATCTATTGAATAGTATTCTGGCTGGTTGCTTTGTGGTTTTGAGGAAAGTATTCTGAATGGCTGCCTCGGTGTAGCAATGTTAGAGTCTGTCGTTTTTTTTAATCAATTAAATGTGTCCTTGCAGAATAAAATTATTGATTTCTTTAAACAACGCTGACACAAAACCTTTGAACTTTGTATTAAAAGGATTCAGGATGATTCTTCTCAGTTTAGTCTAGTGTTGTTTTCCCCAGTGTTGTATTCAACTTTTTTAAAGAACTGTGTCAAGTTCAGGTTATTCTAGTGAGCCCTGTTAACCCCAGCATGGGTCAGTTCTCACTTACAGTACTATTAAAGACCTTTTGGGCAACCCAGAAAGATCAATTTTAATCTCTCCAGGACTGTTGGATAAGCTCTGAAGGAAACTTTTAGTAACCGTCGATGCTTCTGGGTGAAATTCCCAGATAAGGCTCTGGGGTGTGAACATTTCTCTTTCATGATGCGCTCCTCATGATGTTATCTCTCAGGCTGATGCTGCGAGAGGAACCGCCCAGCGCGCCTCCAAAAAACATTGTGGCCAGCGGCCGTACCAACCAGAGCATCATGGTCCAGTGGCAGCCACCGCCAGAACCGCAGCTTAATGGAGTCCTGAGGGGATACGTGCTCAGGTATGGCTTCTGGATTGAAGTATTTGAGCGCATCCATTCATATTGATTCACACTGATTCCAACCATTGTGAACGATCCATAAATTACTGCATGTTATTTAGCAGACATTCCAAGACAAGCAAGACACATGTGGATTAAATGAATACAAACACTGCCAACAAGGGTTAGATAGTAGCTAAGTTTCCATACACCTATTTTTATGAGCATTTCGGATATGCACATAAAAACGATTGATGGATATGCTTAGATTCGACAAGAAAAGATGCGCATAAACTAGGATGGAAACACTTTTACTAAATTCTAGTGTGTGTATTTAAAAAAGTCATGTGATTTTGTTATAAGAGATCATGTGAGATCATGTCTTCATCGTTTCCTTACTTCACAATAGTAAAGGAGTAAAGAGTAAATGTAAAGAGAAAGTAAAGAGGAGTTCCGAATAGAAGCGCTCGTGCTTTAACCTCATGCTGCAGATGGTCTGTTTAATGTTTTCTTGCTAATAAAGCATTGTTTTTCTACTTACAAAGTTCGCCATTTAAATAGCAAATGTGCCAACTGACTCTTAAAGGGAATGGGAGATGAGTCTCTGATTGGTTTAATGCATGATATGCTCCAAACACACGCATAACTCATTGGGCTCTATTTTGACGATCCATGTGCAAAGTCCAAAGCGCAGGGCGTAAACGCATGAAGGGCGTGTCAGAATCCACTTTTGCTATTTTAAGGACAGAAAAATCCACTTTGAGCCACGTCTAACAGGGTTGAGCTTACTCTCTTAATAAGTTATAGGTGTGTTTTGAGAATAAACCAATCAGAGTCTCATCTTCCATTCCCTTTAATAGTAAGTTGTGTCGCGCCATGGTGCATTTGTTATTTACATGGCGGACTTTGTAAGTGGAAAAACTGAACGCTACAAAAGCAAGAAAACAGTTAAGAGCCTCCTCATTCTTTACTTTCACTTTCACTCTGGTGGATAGGGGGAAACGTGTTGTAGGCACAGAGATCTAGTTGCCTACATATTTACTTTTGTTTGTTAAAAGCAAATATTTGTTTTAAAACTTTTTCTAAATTCAGTTCTAATTTCCAGCAAATGAATAATTGAACTATAATAGTGAAGTGTGTTCAAAAAACTGAGTTATGTCCTAATACACATGCAATGCCCCATATGGTCTAAAACCTGACAGATGAGCAAATCTAATCTTTTTTTAATAAAACAAATATAAATATGCATATAATAAATAATACTGCTAATAATAATAACATTATAGAAAAGCAAATTGTCATGAATAAACTAAAAAATCCCCCTGAGATGAAGAAGGCATGGAGGCGGTGGTTTTTATATTTATGTAGGCTAAAAAATATTAATTTTTGTAATATTTTAATTCTTTTTCATTTGTAAAGATATTTGTGTATTGCTGTACATCCTGTCTGTATTAAGCAATGTTTAATCGAGGCGCACAACTAACGCGCTCTACGCTGGACTTTAGACCTCCTCTCAGCTGGTCCATTGAGCAGTCTATTTTAGTCCCTTAAAATAGCAACGCACCAGTAATGCCCATTAACACGCCTCCTTTTTTAGACCAGAACGCCTATGGACGCACATATGAGCGCAAATGCTTTTGCTATTTAAACAGCGTGCTGCAAAATGTCAAAACGCTGAGCTGAAACTAGCAAGCAACAATTTCATCGGGCCTTGTGCCGCATTGCGCCGGGTTAGACCATGTGCCAGGGAGCAACTCTTTTTTTTTCATCCTTAAAATACCAAAAATGGATTCGGACAAGCCTTGAATGCTTTTGCGCCATGTGCTTTAGATATTGCATCGAGATCATTAAAATAGAGCCTACAAAGTGTATTCCACAAAAAAGGTAAAGTTTGACATAATTGTCTTGCCTTTTCTGTTATACTAAACTGGCATGACTTTAAATTGGATTAAAAAAAATACAATCCAAATCAGTGGCAACTGAAAGTGTCTGGTAACCAACATTTCTTAAAATAAGTTTTGTCTTCTGCAATCGAAGGAAATACCCTGTGGTTTGGAATGGTGTGAGGATGACAAAAATCATGACCGATTTTTTTATTTCATTTTATGGTCATTTGTAAGATGCCACAACCTGTTTTTGTTTTTTTTGTTTTTTTTTTTTTGTTTTTTTCAGCCGGTTTTCAAAATACATATATTCAGTAGAGGATGATATGATTTTGTAATAGCTGTTCCTGCCAAGGTAAAGTGTCACTACTACTTTTGTTCACACTTTTGGGTTAGGAATTTGTACACAAAGGCCTAGGATGCCATAGCAACCATATAGCAATGCGATGAAAACCGCCCACAACTTTTCTCTCCTCATCGCCACTCAAACTTTAAACAAAATCCAATGTGAGCGCATGTGTTTGTGTTAAAGGTTTACAATCACACTTCAAACCCCCCTCTGATTGTCTTTGTGTGCGCGTCTCTCCCACTCAGGTACAGGCTGGCGGGTCTGCCGGGTGAGTTCCAGCTGAAGAACATCACCAGTGCAGAGATTAATTACTGTCTGATTGGAGAGCTCATCATCTGGACGCAGTACGAGATCCAAGTGGCTGCCTACACTGGAGCGGGCCTGGGGGTGTACAGCCAGTCTGCCACCGAATACACACTGCAAGGAGGTTTGACAATCACACACACAGACACACATACAGGGGCAGATCTAGAAAATTATTTATGGAGCGGCATGGAAATGATGAGGGGTGGCAACACTGAATCAAGCCTCTTTGCATGATTATTTTGTGAATGATGTTCAAATTCTGCTTCAACAAATTTGCTATTTAGGTGTGAGAGCCCAAAGAGCCCAAACTTTCAATACCTATATGCAATGCAGACAGTTTAGGAGTTATGAAGACCCTCATCAGATTTTTTTCATCCCATCTCTCTCCAAGCTCTCGAGTTTGTGATTTCTGCATGTGTGACACACAAATCTGTCTAGTCTTCCTCTGTTATTTGTTGTAGTCTTACTGTTTTGTATGCATTCAATCAATTTAGTTTTTAGTTTTCTTCTTTTATGTATGGATCTGAAAATACTGTGATCATATTATAATCATATTTGTATAATCATAATAGATGACTTTTAAGACAATTTTCTTCATATTTTTTTATTTTATTTTTACACCATATTCCTGATTTCCAAATATTATTCTATGATTACAAAGTATACATCCATGAAAATCGCATTGATTCAGTTTTCATGTGATGTACAGTATAAATCTCTCTTATCTTACTTATTGACACTGCTTTTGTGGTCCAAGGTCAGAATTAATATTTAATCATTCATCAATAATCTATGCTATCTGACCTTTAATTTGAAATGAAATTAAAAATAAATTGTTTTATTCTAGTTTCCATTCCATCTGTGCTATTTTGGACCAATTGTCTGCACAAGACTTTTGGCCAGCGGAGAAATTAAATTGGTCGTGCTGAACTGAGTCTGGTTCTCTCAAGGTTTTTTTTCTTCACTCTCCTATTGGTGAAGTTTTTTTTTTCCCTCTCCGCTGTCACCGCTGGCTTGCATGGTTCAGGATCTGAAAAGCTACTAATCGATGAATTTGCTCTTCAGTGTTTGGACTCTCAGTAATGATTTCAAACCACACTGAACTGAGCTAAACTGAACTGAACTTAAACACTAAAAACTGAACTACCCTGATCCAGTTACTATGACCATTTATGTGAAGCTGCTTTGACACAATCTACATTGTAAAAGCGCTATACAAATAAAGCTAGATTTAATTGAATCCTAATGCATTTTCTCACTTTTCTTTAGCTGAAATGTGTCCTGGAGCTTCTTAAAACAATGTAATTACAAACAAATATGCCAAATCAGGGTTAAATCCTCAATCCAAATTCCCAACTCCCAAAATCATCAAACTGTGTGACAATAATTACCTACGCTTATTTTAATGTGTTTAGCGTTTAAAATTAATTGCTACATTACCCGCATTTAGGTTGACAGCCCTAATATGAACACACACAAATAAACATACAGAAAAATAATGCCTCATCAGCCAAAACAAACTATTTATTTCAGATCTTTGAAAGTGCACATGTTTTTGGGGTCCAAATAAGCGCATTTCTCATTAAGCCAGCGATATCATAAAGGATCTAGAGTAACCATGGGAACTGTAAAAATCCATTAGCCGGCTTTACTGCGCAGATCGGCCATCTGAAAGATTATTTCTAAGAAGAGTAAATTTATGGACTCTGGGCAAACACTGACCGTAGCCCATTAATTAATCTAATTTGCTTTATGTGCGTGAATTTGTGTGCGTCTGCGTGTGCAGGGAAGTGTGGGGGTGTTCTGAGATCCTTAAGCCATGATTATTCATATTATTTAACATCAGCGTAATGATACTCCTGCCGAGATTAATAGAGACCCAGTGTCCGCAGTAAAGCATCCTCCTCCTTCTCATAGACACTGGGACTGATGCTTTCTTGCAGTTTTCCACTTTTTTATAGCATTTTTTTTTTTTTCATTCTTGTCACGTTTGTCATTTTAATGTTTTCCACCCATTTAAAATTTTGGTTGTTCTTTTTTAAAAATCTTTTATTCTAATACTTTTTTTAAAAATAAACTACGATAACATGAAAACTGCATATTTTATTTTATTTTATTTTATGTATGTATTTATTTTATTTTATTTTATTTTTTATTATTAATTATCTGTTTGTTTCTCATTTTGGTGTTTTCCACTCTTTTTTAATTTAGGCTGTTCTTTTTTAATATTTTATTTTAGTACTTTTTTTTGTTTCTTTGTTTGTTTGTTTGTCTGTATGTTTTAGTAAACTGTAACAACCCTGCAACAAAATGTATTTATTTTGATTCATGATAAAATTTTATTTAATTGTGTTTTTTATTTATTTATTATTCATGTTATTAAACATCATAACATATTTATTTATTTATTTATTTATTTTTATTGATTTATTTATCTGTTTGTTTCTCATTTTAATGTTTTCCACCTTTTTAATTTAGGTTGTTCTTTTTTAATATTTTATTTTAGTAATTGTTTTTGTTTGTTTTGTTTTAGCAAATTGTAATAACCCTGCAACAATTCATTTAATTTAATTTAATTTATTTATTTATTTATTTGATTAATTGTTTATTTGATTTTTAATATTACGTCCCCCCCCCCCCCCCCCATTTTAGTAACATTTGTTTTGCTTTGCTTTACTCTGCTTTTTGCTTTTTGTTTTGTTTCGCAAAATACTAATAATTTAAATAATTTGGTTTAATTTGTTTGTTTGTTTGTTTTCTAGTTGTTTCTGGTTGAGCTGCTGCTGTTTACTAGATTAATACATTTTTTCTTACATTTACATGTTATTCTATTCCTGTTGGTGTTTAGTCCACTGTATGGAGAAATTTGGGGATTAATGTGGTGCAGTTTACTTTATTTTTCCATCCTCACATAAATAAACTATAGTTTCCTTTGTCGTCATAAATGATATCTGGTGTCTTAATAATCTTTAGTTTGTCTGTTTGTCAGTAGTTGTTAATGATAGAGGATCAAAGCTTTTTTTTTTACACACATGAAGTAGACCAAATAGATACAGAAAGGAGAGTTAGTATTAAAGTCTGAAAAATCTGTTTTTTAAACAAAAAGATGGTGTAGAAATTGTGAATTAGTGATGAGGATAGGGAATACATTAATAATAGAAGTGCTGATGAAAAGGATGAATCTTTATTTCTTGCGAATGACTCAAGACTTGACTCGAGGTCGACAACTCCGATAATAGAAGCAATCAAAATATTAAAATATGCAAGTTCTGTGACTTGGTCCAATTGGTCTAATGCATTATACAGAGCAAACTTATTTATTCATTGTAAAGTTTAAAGGGCCAAATCCATTGAATCACAATTATATATACATATACATAAATTTATTAGCCAGTACAGTGTGCTGACGATCCATACATTGGGTATTACTTTGTATATGCCTCTCACTCTGTGTCATTTTGTTTTGTTTTATTTTATTTTATTTTATTTTATTTTATTTTATTTTATTTTATTTTATTTTATTTTATTTTATTTTATTTTATTTTATTTTATTTTATTTTATTTTATAGATTTTTTTATTTGTTTTTATTTATTTTATTTTATTTAGTGTTTTGCTTTTTTACTTTAGTTTATTTTTTTCACTTTATTTTATTTTGTTTTATTTTATTGTGTTTTATTTTTTATTTTATTTGTTTTTTGTTTATATATATATATTTTTTTATTATTATTATTTTTTTAGTTTAGTTTAGTTTTTTTTATTTTATTTTATTTTATTTTATTTTATTTTATTTTATTTCATTATTCATGTCATTTAACATCATTATAACGACTCCCACAGAGATTTACAGAGACCCAGTGTCCACAGTAAAACAGTCTCTTTCTCATATATAGAGACAAACCCTTTAGTGCATGTGCTTTAGGGCGGCTTTTATGTCCCACTTCAGATATCCGGACACACTAATGTAACCTTGTGCCATCGTGTGATTGTGTCTGAAATGAAAAGGGCAGCAGGACGAATCGGAGAGCCCAATCCAATTGAGCGATATCTAATCTGTACTCGACTCGCCAGGCCTGACCTTAAAGGGGCATCTTAAGCACATTAAGTGTAAGCGGCATTGAGTCTTTATGGAAATATGATCTGGTTCTTTCCACTTTCCGCTCAGGCCTGCTGTACGCCTCTGATAGGCTACAAGAAGGCCTTTGAATACGAGCTGTAGTTTGTGTGTGTTTGTATGTGATTATCGCTGGTGTTGTGGATGATAATGGGAAATATAGAGTGTGAATGGATGGAAATGGGGGCTTTGGGTAGGTGTTTATATGCAGGATTCAGGTAGTCATGACAGATATCCTATCATAGATGTCGGCAAATGCATTCATTCATTTTCCCACCGCTTAGTCCCTTTATTAATCAGGGGTCACCACAGTGGGATGAACCACCAAGTTATCTAGCATATGTTTTACACAGTGGATGCCCTTCCAGCTGCAACCCAGTACTGGAAAACACCCATACATTCATTCACAATCATACACTACAGCTAATATAGTTAATCCGATGCTCCTGTAGTGCATGTACTGTGGGGGAAACCAACCCCAACACGGGGAGAACATGCAAACTTCACACAGAAATGCCAGCTGGTTCAGTAGGGATTCAAACCAGTGACATTTCTTGTTGTGAGGTGACAGTGCTAGCCACTGTGTTGCCGTAAATGCAGTATAGGTTAATTTAATAATCATAAATGTAGTTCCTTCATCAATATTTTGTTTAATGTGTCATTTGAAGACAATAGTTCTGTAACTTGTTTTTTTTGTTGCTGTAGTTTAGTAGACTAATCCTGCACCACATCTTATTTTATTTTATTTTATTTTATATATATATATATATATATATATATAGATAGATAGATAGATAGATAGATAGATAGATAGATAGATAGATAGATAGATAGATAGATAGATACCCCCTCCCCTTTATTTAATTTAAGTTGTTCATCTTTTTATAGTAAAATTATTTAAATTTATTTAAATAGTTTTGTTTTGTCTTGTTTTTCTAATTATTTTTGCTTCACAAAATAATTATTCGATTTAGTTTATGTAATTCAGCTTATTAGTTGTATTTTAATGTCACTGAGAAACTGATGCAGTTTTATAGCTAATTAGTTTTATATTTAAATGTTTTAAAGATTTAAAAAATATATTTTTAGTAACTTTTATTAGTTTTTTTAACTAAACTTAACTTAAGTTAACTTTTTTTAGTACTTTTAGTACTTTGGAAGTTGTTATTACTGATGCTTGTAAAGAAATCTGTCAGAAAATAAATTTTTAGCTTTTATTGATGTATTTTTTATATTACTTTATATATATTATTCACATACATTTTTGCTTTCTAAGGACCTACAGCATTTGTATTTTCTTCAAATGAAATATTATGTTTATTAATTTATTCATAAAAGCAAAAGAAATAAGATTGTCAAAATGATTGATTTTTATTTGATGTTAAAATCATTAAAATATTAAAGATCATTTTCCATGAAGATATTTAGAAAATGTCCTACTCTAAATCAATTTCTGATTCATTCATAAAATGCATTGCTTAGAACTTAACTTTTTATGACTTTTTTATGATTTTATAAAATAGTTTTAGTAATATTTTAATTGTTTATATATATATATATATATATATATATATATATATATATATATATATATATATATATATATATATATATTTTTTTTTTTTTTTTTTTTTTTTTAGCTTTTTCTCAGGTTAACATTTGTTTTCTTTGTTTATATCCTTTATTTAATTTCTAATTATGTCAATAGCAATTTTTCATAGTTTCAGATAACTGTAAGATATAAGTCTCATAGTGCATTTTAAAGTGGGTAAGATGCACTATCCCTCAAACTGTTAATCAAAATTAATTTAATATGTGTGAGGTTGCATGGTGGCTCAGTGGTTAGCAAAGTCTTACAGCAAGAAGATCGCTGGTTCGAGTCCCGACTGGGCCAGTTGGCATTTCTGTGTAGAGTTTGCATGTTCTCCCCGTGTTGGCGTGCATTTCTTTTGGGTGCTCCGGTTTTCTCCACAGTCCAAAGGCATGTGCTATAAGTGAATTGCATGAACTAAATTGGAAATTTGAAAATAAAATTAGCTTATAAAAATCCAGAAATGAAACAAGCTTAAGGGCTTTTTTTATCTTTCACCAATCATTTTGCATAAAGGTTTAACCTCATTCAATCACTGATTAAAGTTAGGAGTAGATTTGAACACACTTGCAAAATGATATTTGTAAGCATACAAACTATTTCAGTAGCAAAATATGTCCTCTTTGCAGTGCCCACAGCGCCCCCTCAAGACGTGGAGGCTGTAGCGCTGAATTCAACCACCATCAAGTTCACCTGGACGCCTCCACCACAGCAGTTCATCAACGGCATTAACCAGGGCTACAAGGTAACACGGGTTAAAAAACTGGAGTGACTTGCTTGTCAGGTTTATTGTCTTCTGTTGGGTGTGTTCGCATGATTGATTGGCTGGATGCTTGACAATAGCAGCAGCTTTTAATTTGAATAAACAGGAAGAGTAATTAAGGCAAAGCACTGCAGGTGAATAGGCTAAAACATTCATTAATATCAACAGCCTTCCCCAGTTGATGGATTACATTGAAATCTGATATATGGCAATGTATTAAAATGAAATGCATGGTGTACAGTGCAACTTCATAATAGGATTTCAGGTATATAAAACTATGTTAAGCATATATTGCAAAAAAAAAAAAAAACACTCACTGGCCACTTTATTAGGTATACCCTACTAGTACCCGGTTGGACCCCCTTTCGCCTTTAGAACTGCCTTAATCCTTTGTAACATAGATTGAATAAGGTACTCGAAATATTCCTCAGAGATTTTGGTCTATATTGACATAAGAGCATCACACAGTTGCTGCAGATTGGTCGACTGCACATCCATGATGCGTATCTTTCGTTCCACCACATCCCAAAGGTGCTCTATTGGATTGAGATCTGGTGACTGTGGAGGCCATTTGAGTACAGTGAACTCATTGTTATGTTCAAGAAACCAGTCTGAGATGATTCGTGCTTTATGACATGGTGTAATAAAGATATGGATCCTACTTTGACTTTAGTTTTTGGTGTAGTTCCAGAAGAAATGCACCTATAAGCTAACCATGTAGAAATCATTGCCTTCTCTTCATTATTGGCCAGACACCTGTTTCTTCTCAGGTGGATAAAAGCAAACCCACCATGCCACAAACACTGGATATTAGAAGTGTTATCATATCTTAAACCCGATCACCTTCAATATTCCATCTAAGGCTCACCAATTTGTTTTTTTTTTTTGTTTGTTTTTTTGTGAGGTTTGGTAGCCTTCTCTATCCTACATTGAATGCTCAGGGATTAAACGTTTTCCCACAATTGAATTAATTTAAATTATTTATTTTTAATTGAATTTATTTATTATATTTAATTTATTTTCCTCTTTCTATTTACTTTCTTTTGTAGGATGTGAGTATGTTTTAAGCTATGTACTGTGTTAATATGTTGTTCCATATGTGTGTTGAAAATTAACACTATTGAAAATCAATAAAAATATTTCAATAGCTGTAAAATCCAAATGATCTTGGGTGCCATATATGTATTTTGAATACATTTCCACGTATCAGATTTCTATATGGGTTAAAAAATTGCAATCATTCCTTATATTACATGTTTTCTATTCAATTTTAATGTTTAAAAAAACATAATTTTATAAAATATTGACCATTTTCACACAAAGCATGCAACGTTTGTTTGTTTGTTTGTTTGTTTGTTTGTTTGTTTGTTTGTTTGTTTGTTTGTTTGTTTGTTTGTTTGTTTGACAAAAAAGTTTTTTACCAACAGGATTTTGGGAGTATGTTTTTAACTCTGTAGTTCATTAAATAAGCCACTGGCAATTTTTGTAGAATAAAATCTTGAATAAAATCAGGCAATCTATGTATGAAGTTATATATATCTGATATATATCTCAGTAAGGACCTTCAGAATTCAGATATAAATAAAACTGTAAAGTTTATGTAAATATTGTTTAAGTGCTTGGTGAAGGAGCAAAAAAAAAAAAAACATTTTAAGAAAACCGCCTTTAAAAATGTGTACTTGGTCAACATCAGTAGTAGTGGTTAAGTGCACCGACACATAGCACTGAGGTGCTCACGGCGACCCAAGTTTGATTCTCTGTGATCCCTGTGTATTCCTATTTCAACTCTACTGTCCTATATAACAAAGGTGAAAAACCTACAAATATTTTTAAAAATATGCACTTTAATTTAATTCTACAGACATAATTTATAAAGATTTCTTTGCATTATACTGAAAAATAAATATTTATTTGCTTTGTTTTGCTTTAAATACTAGCAGTGTATGTTAAAAACATTTTGTGTTGGTCTTATTGTTCTTTGGCATCTTTTTACAGCTGCTGGTGTGGCCTGAACACTGTCCGGATTGCATTACAATGGTGACCATTGCCCCCGAGTTCCACGGGTCACGTCATTATGGTTATGTTAGCAATTTAAGAAAGTTCACGTGGTATGAGACAGCGGTGCTTTGCTTCACCACTCCTGGAGATGGACCGGCCAGCACATCACAGCTCATCCAGACACATGTTGACAGTGAGTACATGAAAAAAAACACACGTTCACTCCAGCAAAAATTAAAGGGATATTTCACACAAAATATTAATATTTCACACATTTACTTAATATGCACACACCATGAAATGGTTCCAAATCTCTATGGATTTCCTTTTTTTTTTTGCTGATCACAAAAAAAGATATTTAGAATAATTTTGAAAACCTCTAATCGTTTACTTCCATAGGAGGAAAAATAGATACTATAGAAATCAATAGTTACAAGTTTCTAACATTTTCCAAAATATCTTTAAAAAAAATGCTGACACTTTTTTTATACTAGCTGTGTTTCCATCCAAAGATGCAAATTAAATTTATTCACAAAACTGGTATATTGCATAAAGCGTTGAAGAATAAAGCACCATTTTCCATCCAGTGAGTCAAAGAAAACAAAACCGTCATTTCATAATAAACTGGCAGCAAATATCAAAAAGAAAAGTAGAATTTGCTGCTATAGACACCAATGTGGGCCTTTTTATATATAATAAATTACTTGCACCTCCAAAGATGAAGACAAAATTTAATAAAGACAGTTAAGGAAGTGATAATATTGAACCACTTTGATGACAGACTTTGGTTGAAGGATTTTAGAAAGACAAAAATGATATTTCAGATGTCTTACAATATGCTCGATCTGCTTGTTTGTGTATTGTGCCTATTTTTGTAATCACATTATCTGTTAAAATACAATTACATTATGTTTTTGATGCTCATGCTGGATTTTCTTTAAAAAATGTTTCCACACTCAAAAAAAAAAAAAAAAGAATCACAATGAAGTTTATTATTAACAGTTTGTAACCTTTTGATTTTTAGCTTGTCATTTTTTTTTCAATTTTCAATGTACTGTATGTTGTCGTATTCCTTAGAATCAATCTGAATTTTTAAATACTATTAGACTTAATCAGTTAAAATATATGAATATAATATAATATAATATAATATAATATAATATAATATAATATAATATAATATAATATAATATAATATCTAGCTGTAGAAAAAGCCAGATTTAATTAGCTAAATTCTATGAGATTGGTTTCCGGGGGCAAAACTGACGCAGCTCCATACTCCACACAATAGACAAATTAATAATAAGCATTTTAAACACATGGACTTTATTGATATTATTGCATAAATCTTGGTCATATTGGCTCCATTTATGTTTCACTAACAAATATCAATCACATAAAGTTTATTAGTATAATTATAAAAAAATATTTAATCCAAATTGAGGAAATCTTAATTTTTAGGCCTAAATATTTTTTGGAATATATCGTAGTTTACGCTAGTTTTTTCTTCTTGACAAAAAGTTTATCATACATACATACATTTTTTATGCGAATTTAGGAGTATCTTGCTACTTCCATTAAGTACTGTATTTTTATGCAATATTGTTTATGCTAATTGTTAAGCTATTGTTTTATATAAGAGTCTTTCATGATTATGAAATCAGTAATTTCATGTGATCTCATGGAGCAATCATCCCTGACATTTGAACAAGTAATTTTTACATCTGTAAGCTAGCATGCTAGCAGCTTTTTACACTCATCTGGTATCTTCAGGACAGAGGCAATTTCCCCTCAGCGATTCTCTTTGTCTCTATAGCTGTCGTACATGTTTGATATTATCAGGCAGACGTGATGTGTCAGCAAACAATTTGTAAAGTTTAACATTCGATTTGCAAACCCCTCACTCTACCTGATAACCTGGGCCAAACAACAGAACTAAACAGCAGAAGAAGAGATTTTTCATCCCAGATTATCAGACCTAAAACTCCTGTAGTATAAATAGCCTTAAGAAGAAAAACAACAACTACAATGCTTATTAAATCTTGAATTAATATCAGTTTATCTTATGAAACAACCATGCCCCTGAATTAAACCACTTATTTCCTGTAGAATTATTATTTTTTGAAATCTTATGAACATTTTATTAAAGTTTTAAAGTTTTGGGTGAATGGAGCACATTTGTGCTGCTGCTCCAAAACCATTTGTTCATAAATAATTCACATAGTGATTTTTTTAAAAGATTTTTTTTTTCTCTAAATGGTTATAATAAGTTATAAACCGAACCAACCAGCAATGAGTTTAATGATCATAACATTACAAACATTGATTTGAAGCGAAAAAGTATATGAAAGACAAAGACAAAAAGACAAAGGGAAAATTTACTCATAAAGTGTTGCACTAATCACATTCAAAATTAAGAAATATAAAAGTTGTTAATTGTATATATGATAAAATACATATTTCAAGTGTTTTTTGATAAATTAGTATATTTAGTCTATTTAGAGAATAGAAACATCATCTGGATTATGTCATCTAAAGAAGTGGGAGGAGCTAACCATCTTTGATGATGTGATTGTTGGAATTTTGCACAGCATCATGGGTAATGAAGTTTTTCTGCACAAATTAGCATGGGTCCTGAACTGAGCTTAAACTAAACCAGAATTATATAGTTCTGTTACATGGTATGAGACGATTTTTAAGTATTTTTTTAACATGTCTTAGAACAAATCCCTACTGGTGTCCATCATATACAGAATAATTATACATTTAAGATCTGTAAGTGGAACAGCTCAGAATTACATTTTAGTCTGGGACTAGGCTTAAAGGTGATGTTGAATTAAAGTGAAAAGATGGGTTCAACAACAGCCAATACTGTACATTCGATTAACATCCTCAGAGTTCCCAACAGCTCTGTTTCTATTGGTTTTCCAGTATTGTAAAAAAAAAAATCAATTATCCTGTGGGAAAAATTAATGAGTTTTTTGTTCCTTCCAGAACCCAACTGTTGTCCTCCTATGACTTTCAACTGGGGGACAGAAAAAAATCTTTAATATTTAATGAGAAAATATCTTCATTTGTTCCATAGACAAACAAAAGCTTATTGAATTTGGAACGATAAAGGGTGAGAAAATCATGACAGAATTTAAACTTTTAGTTGAACTAGGCTGTTTACAAATTAAACCTCTGTTTTAAATATTACCTAAGTACTTAATATTTACTTGTTTTAATGGGATAGTTTACCCAAAAATACAAATTCATAATAAGTTATTTTGAAAATGAGATTAATAATGTTTATGTGTTTATTTCTTTTACTATAGAAGTCAATGGTTACTTTTAAATGAATTAAATTTTTGGGTAAACTATCCCTTTAAAACAAGTGATTAGCCTGGCAACTTTTCATATGCAAATATTAGTCTTTTTGTAATATATTTAAAACAGAGGTTTCAGAACCTGTTTCAGTAACAGAAGGTTAAACGGTAAAGTCTAGATTGGATATGTGGCTGGTCTGATTTGCAATATGCATTTTTGACACTGTATAACAATAATTAATATTTGTACAGTACTATGACTGCTGGGTTTAGGGTTTGGTGTGGGGGTAAGCATTAAAAAATACTATTTATTGGGTAATTTAATTCTTTCATTCTTTCATTTTCTTTTTGGATTAGTCCCTTAATTAATCCGGGGTCACCACAGCACAATGAACCGTCAGGTAGTTTAATATATAACATATACAAATCTCGGTACAACTACTGTTATTACGTTATTGTGACGGTTGGGTTTAAGGTTGGGGCAGGGATAGACATACAATAAATAGGTAATTTAATAAATTATCTAAATAATACTCGTCAACTTCTGGCCGCAACTGTATCTGATCTAGCAACAACAAGGTTAAAACTTTGTTCAGGGTGTCTGCAGGGTCTTAAAAAGTATTAAAAGTTGATCGATCAGTTATGAGAAATTAAGGCCCTAAAAGGTATTAAAAAGTGTTAATCGTGTTTTTACGAGGTCTTAAATTTTGATCAAGCGTGGTCCAAAGTGTTTGACTCCAAAAAAGCATAAATATTTATTTATTTGTATTTATTAGATATTTATTTTACTCTTAGTACATGTAGCCAAACCATAAAGCGAAACAGATGGATGAAATGTGAAAATGTACGGTTGCATACTCCTGGTTGGAGAAAGACGAGTTTAAACAGTGGCTGAAGCCTGTCGCTAAAAACAATTGTGTAATTTATATTGTTTATTAAGTTAAAGGTTTTATACTGATTAGAACTTGAAGTGGCGACGAGGTCTTAAAATATCAACTCAGGCTCATTCTGAAAACGTAGTCCCATGGACGTTTCTGGAGACCGCGATAATACATCCCTAATAAATACAGCTATAATACATCCCTAGAGGTACTTATTTTTGCAGTTTTTGTTTTTGCGAATCTGCGAGACGCTGCTGTGTGTCCTTTTACGAATCTTAAATGTCTCTTACCGAGTGCTGTTTGCGCATAAACCCACCAGAGGCTGCTGTCAAATGACCTTCTGTCTGTCTGACTGACTGAATTTTTGACTGGGCGCCCGGCCAATCGGCTGACCCACCCTCCTCCTTCCCTAAACCCAACCAGTTTTACCGATTAACCTGCCCGCCTGCTTGCTTCCCTAGACCCAACCAACAATTTACAAAAGCCGTCCAGACTATTTTTTTTTTTTTACCATGTTTTCAGATTCTGCCACATCCTCACCCTGTTATGAACTTGTTGACTTAATTTTTATTTCCGCTCTTCCCTGGACTCAAACCCGGTCGTCGTCGTTGTAGTCAGCTCCTCGCTGCATCTAAAGTACGCCAACGTATACGACGAACTAACTGGACAAACTGGCTGCAGCGGGAAAGCTCTCCACATGGAGGTAATCGGTCAGCCAATAAGCGCGAAAAGGAGCGGCGCCACACTGCCCAGTAGCTTTCGCTTAAGAAATGAAATGCAGCCATACATACTTCCAGCTACATAATTCGTAGTCTCCAGAAACGTCCACGAGACTACGTTTTCAGAATGAGCCTGGGTTGTAAAATATTCTGAGTAGGTCTTTAAAAAGTTATAAAAAGGTATTGAAATTACCTTTAGGATTCCTAAATATATCCTGCCGTTAATACCTTGACTTGTGTGGAAACGGTGCTTTGTTCTTAAATGTTTTACACAGTATTCCAGTT